TAAGAAATAGAAAATATATTTATCTTATTTTCAAAAACATTTGAGGAAAAAAAATAAATATAAAAAAGCATAGTGCAAAGTTGCTAGGGAACCAAACAAATCATTATCTAATGTATTGTATCCTCAAATTGGATTTAAAATAAATTGGCAATAAAATAAATTGACAAAGAAGTTGAAATTTGAAAAATCTAGTGCTAGGTAATTAAATAAATTTGAAAGTTGTAAATAAATAAATAGGTATCGAAAAACTTGATGACTATTTCAACTCTGCATAAATTAATCACATTATGTAAAAGTAATTTTCCAAATTAATTTTTCATCAAACTTGTGTGTTTTGATTTGAAATAATTTTCTTTTTTTTTTTTTTTTACGTGAGAAAATAATAAATATTTATATTATATTATTTTTTAAAAAAAAATATATATTAGAAAATTTTGAGTAAAAAACAAAGCTTAATACTCCGTCCATCCCGATCGAAATTTTGTATTTATGATATATATTAATATAAGATATACAATAATGTTTTATATAGTTTATTACTATGTGCTAATTAAAATGATGATTTTATTTTGTTTTGGTTAAAAATTGGGGTTTAATTCGAATTTTACTTTTATTTAGTTACTTATTTTTTTTAGTTTTCATAATTAGATAATATGATATAAAAAGTTCGCACGAAAAAAGTATAAAATATTTTCTTTTGTTTTTATATAATATTAAAATTAATTTTCATATAAGTATCATGTTAAATACTTATTTTGATTATATTAAATTCGCATTCAAACAATCAATTTTCTTTTTTATTTTATTTTTATATATATGTTTCTTTAGCCGAGTTTTCTCAAATTTTACTATTTGAATTCTGCGTTTTTCGAAAAAATAATATATATTTTTTCTCACAAAACATTTTACCAAACATTATTTTCATACCAAAATCAAACCAATTTTTTTCCAAACTCATCAAAAGAAACACACTAAATTACTACTCAATGTTTACAAAATTTTAAATACTTTATAGTATTACTTGTAAGGTATAAATTTAATAGTTATATATTAGGTACATAAAATTTTGTAGATAATACAAGGAATTAATATATATATATATATATATAAGGTACAATTTATCTAAATTTCTAATTTATAAATAAATAGAGTATTTTCTCTGCTACTCATCTTTCGAATAAAGCAAATTAATAATATTTTTTTCATTAATTATATATAAAAATATTTATTAAAAAATAAAATAAAATAATTACATTTTAATTAACATGTATATAAGTATCATTACAACCATCCTACTATTATATTATTAAAAAATATATATCATGAAAATAAAAGTGAAAATAAAAATAGAATTTTTTATTTGATTTTTTAAGATTAAAAACCAATTAATTTATTTACTTTATACATTTACTAGCATAATACCTATGATATGCACGGGTATATTAACTTTAAAATATTAATAATTAATTAAAATTATAAATTATATTTAAACATTATTTTTAAAAAATTCAATAATTTTTTTAATATAATTCATAATATTATTAAGTTATATATTAGATATATGTGTTTGTTTTGTGAAAATAATATGAATAAATATTTTTTTTAAAATATAAAGAATTGTGTAAATAATATGAAATTAATAAATGTGTAATGTATTAATTTTTTATAAAAAAATAGAAGAAAAAAACGAAAAGAACACACCAATCATAATTTACTAGGTATGCTCCTTTAATTATTTTTATTTATTTATTATTTATAAAATCGTTGATTTTTCCGATAAAGAAAATGTAACAAAAGAATTTGGTTTAATATTTTAAGTGTTATTTATGTTTTATTTTTTCATTCCTATATCAAATTAAGAATAAAAAATAATCGATTAGTCAAAATTATTAAAGTGTAATTCCGAATAAATTGTTGATTTATATGCAACGATTAATTTTCTTTTGATTCCATTTTGTTCGCAATACTCCTTAACTACTATTATATAAATTTACCTCCAAGATATGCTTTTAAAGATTTGATGGCAAATCAATATTTCTTTGTTTTTCTTTCTTTGGCAGGTTGTGTAATGCCCCGATTTCGGAGATTATTAAATAATACTCCATCCGTCTCAAAACTATGATCTTATTTGAGTTGGACACGAGATTTAAAAAATATTGATATTATATTGATAGTAGGTAAAAAGTACCGGTAAAAGATTTTTTTATCCTTGTGAATGTATTAGTGTAAAAAGTAGTAGCATTTTTGTGTAATAATAATGAAAATATAGGAATAATTTGATGGTGACATGAGTATTTATGGAAATAAGACTGTTGGTTTTGAACGAACAGATAAACAAGACTATTGTATTGGGATATAGAGACTATTATTATGTCATATAATTTTTTTGATTATATTAATGGAAACAATAAATTAATATTATGGAATAAATTATATTTCTATTTTATATATTAATTATAATTGAAGAGATTTTGAATAAATAAATACCGGGATATTTATTCAAATTTTTTATTAATATTATTATTTTTAGTACTATTTTTATTATATAAGTTTGGATAAATATAAATTATTAATAATATAGGAGGATAATAATAATAATAATATAATTATATATATTAGTTAACAGACAAACCAAATCGAGCTTTAGTTCGATGTGACAGTAATATTCCGATTTGAGTCGACCAGATCGAATAGTTCAATTTGATATCTATGTAACATTTTTTCATACCGATATCTAAGGTACAATGTCTACTATAGAATAAAATTCGTATCATCCCTACAATATACCGTATCGTATCACCTCTACAATGAATCATTCAAACCTTATATTCAATTTTTGACTACCAAATATTTTAACATTGTTACTTTCGTTTCAAAACATTTTGAATCAACGAGGCCCAACAATATTGAACGAATTCCGAACAAAGAGTTCGATGTTGAACAAACAACCGAAAACGTTAAGCTAATGTTGAGACCATCGAGCGAGGCTCGACGGCATCAAACGAAGTCCAATTACATTGAGCGAAACCCATGCATGTCGACAATGGCCCAACATGTCACAAACCGTGGGTTAGGTATTTGGGCCTTAAAGGTGAGCTTAGAGATGACATCTCTCAAGCCCAATGGGTTGGACCCTTAAAAAATGTTCACATGATAGATGGTAGTCTAAAAAATAATCTATAAATAAGGTTGAATTAGAAGATTTGATTTTTTTATTATTGTAAACAAAAAAAATGACCCTATTCACTTTACATAATTTTTAATAAAAATATATTAATTTTTAAAAAATATTATATCAAAATATTATTTGAACAAATTTTAAACCAACATTTTATTTCAAATTATAAAAAAACAAAATATGTAAAATTCGCATTATCATTTCATTTTTTACTCTTTTTTTTTCTTGCATATTTTTCAGCATTATTTCACTTTAATTCATTTTCGATAATTTCTTTTGGTTTTTTCCATTCCAATTGAGTTAAATTATCTACACTTTTATTATTTACATTTTATAAAATTTAATTTAATTATCATATAATATTTTTAAAGTATATATATAAATATGTAAAATAGATCATCATATTTTTTTATAATTATAAAAGATACTTATAAATATAAAAAAAATACTTATAAAATATATTTAATAAATTTATTACAAAATTTATATAATTAAATAATTATCTTACTGACAAATTATATCTTACGTATTTTAAAAATTAATACCCACTCCCCTTCCCTCTCACAATAAATGATATATTTTCTATTTTTGTCTATCTTAGAGATATTTTTTATTTTGAATAAAATTTATTAAATTAAAACATATTTAACAATATAATATTCATATTGTATATTTTTTTATTGCGATATAATTTTAAAATATTTAAATAGATATTCTAATTTTTTTAATTATATATTAAATTTATTTTAATATTATTAATTATATAATAAAATAATATTACAATTCACTATTGTTAACTAAGTAAACATTATTATTTTAAATATCGCGTCCCTAGTGAAAGATGTCAATTATCTTAAAACAACATAAAGTATTCTAATTATGCACTACGTGAAGATCATGCCGATCAAATAAATTATAATTTAGTATAAATAAAAAATATTATTTTTTTCAATTTTTCCATTTATATAATATTATTTGTACGGTATATAATAATTGTATAGAATTTTGTTGAGAATAGGAAAAGATAAATTATATTATACAATCTTCTATAAAAATGGCTTCTATTATAAATTCCAGGCGTTTGTTTGTTTATATTTATTTACAAATTTTCAAATGTCCATTTTTAATAAATATATATTATTTTTTATTATAAATAACTTTTAAAAGATAATTAAATATTTTTAGAATTTTAAATACTAATTTAAAAACTTTAAAAAAATTAATTTAAATATTAAAAAAAATATACTCATATTATTTTGTGTGTTTTATTATTTGTTTTTTTTTTGAATTCATAGATAAAATTATATTTATTTTTTCCAAAAATTATTAAATTAAATAAAAAAAATGAAATTGTCATTGAATATTCCAAAAATTTATCATGTTAAATTAATTATTTGTATGCCCTTTAAAAGAAAATAAAAAATAATATTTTTTACTAAAAATAAAACAAAAATAAAATTTAATAATAATAAAATTGAAAAATAAAAATAAAATTGATAACAGAGCTAATAATATTTTTTTTTATCAAATGTAGTAATATTTATATATATAATAACAATATTTACATACATTAATCAATTTTTATTAAAATATAATTTTAAAAGATTAATTATCATATATTTATTATAATTTTAGTTCAATAATTTTAAAATCCAACCAACTAATTTTTTTAATTTAAATTTTGAATTGGTTGCGGTTAGTATTTTTTATAGCAAAAGTCAAAAGTTAATAAATAATTAATAAACAGGATAATTACAAATGAACTGAATAAGTAAAAAATGGGATATATATTCCCAAAATTGGTTGCTGTAAAATTGGCTATTTTCCAGTTCAAAATAGTATACTCAACAGATCTCTCCGTATTTCTGCTATAAATTCTTCGATTTCTCATTCACTGGTTACTACTTTCGTCGAAATCTCTGTATTCTTGTTTCTCAATCATTGTTTAGGGCTTTCATCTGCAAAACAAAGAGAAATCAAGATGTTTGGATTAACTGTTGCTCGATTTCTGAAGCAAAATGGTCTCAATCCTTCGAAGTTTTCGAGGTACGATCGTAATATAGTTTTGGCGGATTTGATTTGTTTTCGGTATACTATCAATTCTCGTGATATGTACAGAAAATTGGACAAATTTTTTGATTAGTTTGAGAAAATTGTACAAACTCTTTGATGGCTTTTTTCGTTTAATTCTTTTGGGGATTTTTTGATTAAGTTCTCGAAAATGAATTAATGTTGCTGTCGATGGAATTTGACTCTCTTTTGTTGTATATTGTAGACTTGCGCATTCCTTACCTTTTGCAACAGTGAAGGTCGAAGAAATATCGGGTTCACAACCTGCTGAAGTGTTGAATTTGGGTACCAAAGCAACTCTTAAATAATTTCTCATTTCATTGTTAAAATAACTATTTGATTATGCAATTTTTGTATCATAACGTCTTGTTTTTGTCTCTTTTTAGTGCAGGGAAGCTGGACTAAATCTTCGAACTGGATCACCATTCCCGATCCTTTGAATGGTGAATCATTTATTAAAGTTTCTGAGGTTGATGAGAAGGGGATACAGGTATGCATCATATAAAGGTTTATATTGGCTTTGTGTCTTTTTAATAATAAAAAGAATATGTCTGAAAAGATATTGTAATATTTATGCAGGCTTTTGTGGAAAGCCTTAGCCGGTGTCCCAAACATGGTCTGCACAATCCATTTAAAGCCCCGGAAAGGTTAGGTTTTGTTAACATACCTTTGCTATGGAAAATTGTTCATTTCTTCTGTTATTGTTGCTTGTCATCTATGGCTGTCTGAATGTATGTCTTGAAGTTGGGAGAATACTGTTTGAGATTGTATTCTGTAAAATAGGCTGAAAAAGGATTTTGTGATTTAAATTGCTGCAATCTGGAAATTTTTGATGGAATTTAGACATACTTGAAATAAAATTAAAATGAGAGTTATGGGGAAACTGTGTTATCGTGCTATATTTTCACTTTTCTCCGAGTTTTAACTTCATTCAAATGAGTTTTAACTTCATTCAAATTCTTGTTAAACTAACATTTCAGGTACCTTATGCTTGGGGATGTTACGGCAAAAGCAGCTAACAAGCTTGGCCGGCCTGAGGTGACATTTTAGTCTCTCATTTTGTAGTTTGAGAAATTTTGTCTGATGTAATACTGGTAAATTTATTTGTGTTTGCTGCTAGGTTTCCGATTTCTTTGCCAAGTTGATACAAAGGGTCAGTCCAAAGAGTTACCAACAGGCCCTTGGTGAAGTTACTGTCACTCAAAAATTTCTTGAAAACTTTTGCGGTGATCAGGTAATTATAAATAATTAATGCTGTTTTATTTGATGGATCTTATGTAATATATTTCCATATCTCATATTCCAAATCCAATTATATATTTATCAAAATATGGCAGGTTCGTTTTCTAGCTAGGTCATTCGGGGTGCCTGGAAATCATCTCGGCCAGCAAAGCCATGGTTTCAGGTGGCCTTATGGACCGGTAAGTCAAAAAATATATCAATTTTACCTATCGATGATCAAGAAATTTTACGTGATATGTACATATATAATGTGGGAAAAAATAAATTTGGATACTCATCACTGTGGTCTGAAATGACTGTGCACTTTATGCACGTTTGCCTTGCTTGTATTCTTGTTGCATTAGCCTATGGCTGCATCTAAAGACTAGGATGTCTATTGGTGTATGCTGCATGTGAGAGAGGTAGTTTATTTTTACCTATTTGCTATGATTTATGTATGTGCTCTCTTCCTCGAAAATTTTTATGGGGCCAAAATGTCTTCAATGGTGTTTTTTTGTGTGTTTAGGTCACAGTCATTACTCCTTTCAATTTTCCTTTGGAGATTCCGGTCCTTCAACTAATGGGTGCGCTTTATATGGGAAACAAACCTCTTCTCAAAGTTGATACCAAGGTAAACAAACTACTACTGCTTGATATCTTTCTTCATTTTGTGAACATACGACTCCCAATTGGGTAGGTGAACAATCTTTTTCTAGAGAACCCCATTACATACACATAGATCCTTTAATCCAATATAGTACGAAATTACAAATACTTTGAAGGGAAAAGATATGTTTTCATTCGCATATCCTTGTATTCATAGGTCTCCATTGTTATGGAACAAATGCTACGTCTGCTTCACGAATGTGGATTGCCAGTAGAGGATGTTGATTTCATAAATTCTGATGGGAAAACCATGAACAAACTTCTCATGGAGGTTAGTTTTTCAATTTACAAACTTCTGTTGGGAATGGATTTAAATATGTCGCCCATGTATAAATATGAGGTTTTTCAATTTTATTTACCCATAATGTTAGTACAAATTTAACGATGTACACGAACTTTCTTTCATTTGTATTTCTTGTCAAAAGAATGCTAAAAACCGTACAATGTCATTGTACAATGTCATTTTGATCTTTTTTATTTTATTTTTCTCTTTGAGCAAATTTGTTTTTAAATGTCTCGATATAAATTACCAGGCAAAACCACGAATGACACTCTTCACTGGTAGTTCAAGAGTTGCCGAAAAATTGGCTCTTGACCTGAAGGGTAGTATCAAGTTGGAAGACGCTGGATTTGACTGGAAAATTCTAGGACCAGATGTTCACGAGGTTTTATCATTCACATTTTATTATTCTAATATCTTGCATTCTGTCTTAACAATTGTTAACTTCAGTGTTCCCTTTCTTGAACCTTTTTTTTTTTTTTTTTTTTTACTGTACAGGAGGATTACGTAGCGTGGGTGTGTGATCAGGATGCATATGCATGCAGTGGTCAAAAATGTTCGGCACAATCATTGCTGTTTATGCACGAGGTAGGCCATATGAATCTGTCTTGAAATTTGATAATTCATGGAAGTCTTTTGTTTGTAAGCCTGTATTTTTTATAGCACTCTTCTCTTGAGTGGTGTGTAATAGTTTCCGTACCGTTCACTTTCACAGAATTGGAGCAAAAGTTCACTGTTACAGAAGTTAACTGATCTTGCGGCCAGAAGGAAGTTGGATGATCTGACTATAGGTCCAGTTCTTACAGTAAGTTACTTTAATTAATGTTAAATTATAGGTGATAAAAGATGTTTTGTGTGTTTATGCTTTTGTTATGTTTTTAGTTTTGATTTTATTGTTATATGTATATATATTGTCTATTATATATTGTACTTTTTTGATAATATGTTCGAAAAATTATGTATCTTTAGAACACTACGTGAACATATTCTTAATCTTTTGTAACCAACAAGGCAGCTGTGGTTTAATTCTAAATAAGATGTTCGGAATAGCATATCATATAAGATCTCTAATTTCAATTTTTTTTTTTTTTGTACACAGGTTACGACGGAAGCAATGCTTGGTCACATGAATAAATTGCTTGAGATTAAAGGATCGAAGCTCTTGTTTGGTGGCGAACCCTTACAAAACCACTCTATTCCTTCGGTGTACGGGGCCATAAAACCTACAGCTGTGTTTGTTCCTTTAGAGGAAATACTGAATGAAAAAAATTATGAACTAGTAACGAAAGAAATTTTTGGCCCCTTCCAGGTATATTACGATAAACTTTTGTTTTAATCTTATGAAATATGATGTTTATATACACCACGTTGTCTCACTTTTGGTTATATATGCCATCTTTATAGGTTATAACCGAATACAAACAAGATCAGCTTCCATTAGTGCTGAATGTCCTTGAGAAAATGCATGCCCATTTAACCGCTGCTATAGTTTCTAATGATCCGTTGTTCGTACAAGTAAGTTGAAATTTACCAATAGTTTATATATATATATATATATATTTACGAATTGTCAATTTGTAGGAGGTGGTCGGTAATTCGGTGAATGGAACTACTTACGTCGGAGTAAGAGCAAGAACAACGGGGGCCCCTCAAAATCACTGGTACGTTGATCCTTAGGTTATGGAAAATTCTTTTTCCTTTATTACATAATCATGAACTTATATCGCGAAAATGATTGATAAATTTAGGTTTGGCCCTTCGGGAGATCCGAGAGGCGCCGGAATTGGTACTCCGGAAGCCATCAAGCTCGTCTGGTCGTGTCATCGCGAAGTTATATATGATGTAGGTCCTGTTCCTCATTGCTGGACAACTCCCAAATCGACCTAAATTAGTATATTTTGTAGATAAAACGAGTTACTGATTTTCTGATGATGAGACTTAATTTAGTAGAGTTAAATTACTACTTAATTTTTATGTTCTTATTTTTTGTCTTTCGTATTTCCTTTTTATATATTAAGAATTTTTTATCAAAAGTAAAAAAATAAATTGAGAAAATAAGTAAAATTAGGCCAATGATTTTTTGTGAAGTTTAATCAGAACGTACATCATAGAATATTCATTGAATATTATTTTGTAAAATAACTTAAAAGATAAAACATTATAGAATATTCATCCAAAACTATTTTATAAAATAATCTAAAATATCTGGATAGAATATTCATTTAACATTATTTTGTAAAAATTTAAATAGTTTTATACATATAAATAAATATTTGTTTAGCAATATTTATAGCACGGACAACATACAATTAATTATGCTATCTTACTGAAAATTATATATATAACCTTTATTTGTTTGAGTTTAAGGGTTTTGATTTATATTAATTTAATAGATAATGATTATGTTAGTTTAAAAGTGTAATATATAAATTTTTTTTTATATACTTTGGTAAAATAATAATAATATTTTGAATTTTTTTTCTAATAAAATAAAGCAGTTTTAAAAAATATTTTAGTTTCAAAAATTAAACTAATTGTTTTAAAAAGAAATTTATAAAAAAAAATGGAATAAAAATTGTACTGATATGTTTTTCGAGGCGAATAGTAATAGTATTAAGATGAGAAAAAGGGTTTTAATTGGGCGAAAAGTATATTTGCTCCTTATCGTCAATTTGTTGTCCTGCGAAGGTCCGACGTAATATTATTCCACGATGGGTTTTATCCTGTTACATTAAAAATGCGACACCAAAACAAATCACAAAATTCTATACAATGAATCATTCAAACTTTATATTCAATTCTTGATTATTAAATATTTTAACATTGTTACTTTCGTCTCGACATTGAGCAAAGGAGACTATCGAGCGAGGCTCGACGGCATCAAACGAAGTCCAATTGCATTGAGCGCAACCCATGCATGTCGAAAGAAGGTTCGACGATGTAGGCCAACATGTCAAAAACCATGTCAAATTTAAAATGTTAATTTTGGTTTAAAATTATAAAAGTACAATTATTTAAATAAAATCTCAAATTAACCTTCTTATTTCAAATCAAATTTTAAACCATAAAAAAACAAAGCCTTGATTTATTTCATTTTCGATAATTATTTTTATCATGCGGCTCAAATACCAAAAAAAAAATAATAAAAAAAAAATAACTATTTGTGAAAATATATAGAATATAATTTGGTAATCGGATAAATACGATACAAAAGTAATAATTGAACATATATAGAAACTTTAATTTTTTTTTCAATTTTCCCTATTCTATGATATTATTTGAATGGTATATATTAAGAATAATTGTATAGAATTTTGCTGAAAATAGAAAAGATAATATGTATGTATATATATTTTAATATACAATCTTCTATAAAAATAGCTTCAGTTATATATTCAAGGAGTTGTTTGTTCATATTTATTAACAATTTTTCAAATGTATCATTTTTAATAAATATATATGTGTTAGTATCTTTAATTATAAAACAATTTAAAAACAATAAATAAATATTTTTATAATTTTAAATACTACTTAAAAAACTTTAAAAAAAATTAATTCTAAATACAAAAAAAATACACCCATAAATGATTTTTTTTGTGTGTTTTTTATTATTTGTTCAATAAATTCATTGATAAAATTGTACTTATTTTCTCAAAAGATTATTAAATTAAATAAAAAATTGAAATAAAAATTCAAATAAACTTCTAAACACTACCTGTGCTTGTTCCAAGAATATTTTTTTTATTAAATAATATTCTTATATATAAAATAACAATATATACGTATATTTATTATAATTTTAATCCAAAAATTTTAAAATGCTGTTGGACAAAACTGATTTAATTTATGATTTTTTTTTTCAAATTTAATTTTTGAGTTGGTTGAAATTTTTTATAGAAATAATCAAAAGTTTAATAAATAATTAATAAATAGGATAATTACAAATAAGTAAAAAATGGATATATTCCCAAAATTGGTTACGGTAAAATTGGCTATTTTCCAGTTCAAAATAGTATACTCAGCAAATCTCTCTGGATTTTCGCTATAAATTGGCTATTTTCCAGTTCGATTTCCCATTCACTGGTTACTACTTTCGTCGAAATCTCTATGTTCTTGTTTCTCAATCGTTGTTTAGGGTATTCATCTGCAGAACAAACAGAGAAATCAAGATGTTTGGATTAACTGTGGCTCGATTTCTGAAGCAAAATGGAATCAATCCTTCAAAGTTTTCTAGGTACTTGACGATTGTTGCTTTGCAGTTGGTTGAATTGTTTTCAATATACTATCAATTTTCGTGATATGTATAGAAAAATTGGACAAATTCTTTGATTAGTTTGAGAAAATTGGACAAACGTTTTGATGGCTATATCACCGTACACAGCTGTGGTGTTTTTTTTCTTTAATTCTTTTGTGGATTTTTAGATTAAGTTCTCGAAAATGAAAGAGCTTATTTGACGATTAACGTTGCTGTCAATGGAATTGACTCTCTTTTGTTGTATATTGTAGACTTGCCCATTCCTTACCTTTTGCAACGGTGAAAGCTGAAGAAATATCGGGTTCTCAACCCGCTGAAGTGCTGAATTTGGGTACGAAAGCATCTCTTAAATAATTTCTCATTTCATTGTTAAAATAGCTATTTAGATAACACAATTTTTGTATCAATTTTCTAGCTATTTTGATTATACAATTTTTGTCTGTACAGGGAAACTGGACTAAATCTTCGAAGTGGATCACCATTCCAGACCCTTTGAATGGTGAATCATTTATTAAAGTTTCTGAAGTTGATGAGAAGGGGATACCGGTATGCATTATAGGAAGATTTATATTGGCTTTGTGTGTCTTTAATAATAAAAAGAATATGCCTGAAAATATATTGTAATCTTTATGCAGCCTTTTGTGGAAAGCCTTCGGCAGTGTCCCAAACATGGTCTCCACAATCCATTTAAAGCCCCGGAAAGGTTAGGTTTTGTTAATACACCTATGCTATGAAAAATTGTTATTTATTTTTATTTTTTATTTTTATTTTTGTTATTGTTGCTTGTCATCTATGACCGAATGTATGTACTTGAGGTTGATAGAATTACTGTTTGAGTTTGTATTCTGTCAATTTTTTTTGGCTGAAAAGGGATTTTGTGTTTTAAATTGTTGCAATCTGGAATTATTTTTTATGTAATTTAGACATTTAAAATAAAATTAAAATGAGAGTTTACGGGGAAACTGTGTTATGGTGCTCTGTTTTCACTTTTTTCCAAGTTTTAATCAAATTCTTCTTAAACTTACATCTCAGGTACCTTATGCTTGGGGATGTTACGGCAAAAGCAGCTAACAAGCTTGGCCAGCCTGAGGTGACATTTTAATCTCTCATTTTGTAGTTTGACAAATTTCAGATGTAATACCGGTAAATTTATTTGTGTTTGCTGCTAGGTTTCCGATTTCTTTGCAAAATTGATACAAAGGGTCAGCCCAAAGAGTTACCAACAGGCCCTCGGTGAAGTTACTGTCACTCAGAAATTTCTTGAAAATTTCTGCGGTGATCAGGTAATTATAAGTAGTTAATGCCTTTTTCTTTGATGGATCTTATGTAATATCTTTCCATATCATATTAAGTATTATCAAAATATGGCAGGTTCGTTTTCTAGCTAGGTCATTCGGGGTGCCTGGAAATCATCTCGGTCAGCAAAGCCATGGTTTCAGGTGGCCTTATGGACCGGTAAGTCAAAAAATATACCAATTTTACCATCGATGATCAAGAAATTTTATGTGACCTGTACCTGTATTATGTGGGAAAAAATAAGATTGGATACTCATTTCGGTGAACTGAATGTTTTTCTGAGAATGACTGTGCACTTTGTGCACAATTGTCTTTCTTGTATTCTTGTTGCATTAGCCTATGGCTGCATCTAAAGACTAGGATGTCTATTGGTGTATGCTGCATGCGAGAGGTAGTTTATTTTTACCTATTTGCTATGATTTATGTATAAACATTATGTTTTTTTTTTACGAACGATGTGCTCCCTTCTTCGAAAATGTTTATGGAACCAAAATGTCTTCAATGGTTCTTTTTTTTGTGGGTAGGTTACAGTCATTACTCCGTTCAATTTTCCTTTGGAGATTCCGGTCCTTCAACTAATGGGTGCGCTTTATATGGGAAACAAACCTCTGCTCAAAGTCGATACCAAGGTAAACAAACTACTATGGCTATCTTTCTTCATATTTTTAACATACGACTCCCAATACATACACATAGATGCTTTAATCCTGTATAGAACGAAATTAAGAACGAAATTAAGGATACTTTGAAGGGAAATGGTGAAAGATTTGTTTTTATTCACAGGTTTCCATTGTTATGGAACAAATGCTACGTCTACTTCACGAATGTGGATTGCCAGTAGAGGACGTTGATTTCATAAATTCTGATGGGAAAACAATGAACAAACTTCTCATGGAGGTTAGTTTTTCAATTTACTAAGAGTTATATCACGAAGCTTATATTTATTTTGTTGGGATTTGATTTAAATATATTGTCCATGTATAAACATCAGGTTTTTTTAATTTTATTTACCCATATTGTTAGTACAAAGTTAATGATGTACTAAAAACCGTATTCCTTTTTAAATGTCATTGCTTTATCATGTCATTTTGATCTTCCGTCCCTTTTATTACTTTGGATCCATGAGCAAACTTATTTTTAAGTATCTCGATATGAATTTTCAGGCAAAACCACGAATGACACTCTTCACTGGTAGTTCAAGAGTTGCCGAAAAATTGGCTCTTGACTTGAAAGGTAGTATCAAGTTGGAAGCCGCTGGATTTGACTGGAAAATTTTAGGACCAGATGTTCACGAGGTCTTTATCATTCACATTTTATTATTCTAATATCTTGCATTTGGTCTTAACAATTGTTAATTTTAGTGTTCTTTTTCTTGAACTATTTCTTCTTGTACAGGAGGATTACGTTGCGTGGGTGTGTGATCAGGATGCATATGCATGCAGTGGTCAAAAGTGTTCTGCACAATCATTGTTGTTTATGCACGAGGTAGGCCGTATGAATATTTGATAATCCACGATTTGTTTGTTTGTAAGCCTGTACTTTTTACAGCACTCTTTTCTTGAGTATTGATAATGTATAATTTCACTTTCACAGAATTGGAGCAAAAGTTCATTTGCAAAAGTTAACTGATCTTGCAGCTAGAAGAAAGTTGGATGATTTGACGATAGGTCCAGTTCTCACTGTAAGTTTCTTTTTCAATTAATTAATTAATTAATGTTAAATTAGAGTATTTGTTTTACGTTTATATATAGTTTTAAGTGTTTTGGCTGTGAGATACAAAGGATTTTGAAAATATTATGGGTAATGATGTTTTGTGTGTTTTTGCTTTTGTTTTGTTTTTAACATTGATTTTATTGTTATATGTATATATTGTCTATTGCATATTGTACTTTTTGATAATATGTCCAGAGAATTACGTATTTTTAAAACACTAAGTGAACATATTTTTAATCTTTTGTAACTTTAGACGGTATTTCTTTACTGCTAGCACATCCTTTCCTATTACTAATGGGTGTTCGGAATAGCATATCATATAAGATCTCTAATTTTAGTACCTCTTTTAATACACAGGTTACGACAGAAGCAATGATCGATCACATGAATAAATTGCTTGAAATTAAAGGATCGAAGCTCTTGTTTGGTGGCGAACCCTTACAAAAGCACTCGATTCCTTTGGTGTACGGGGCCATAAAACCTACAGCGGTGTTTGTTCCTTTGGAGGAAATACTGAATGTGAAAAACTATGATCTAGTAACAAAAGAAATTTTTGGCCCCTTCCAGGTATATTACGATAACTTTCGCTTTAATCTTACGAAATATGACGTTTATATTGTCTCACTTTTGGTTGTATATGCCACCTTTATAGGTTATAACTGAATATAAACAAGACCAGCTTCCATTAGTGCTGAATGTGCTCGAGAAAATGCATGCCCATTTAACTGCTGCTGTAGTTTCTAATGATCCGTTGTTTGTACAAGTAAGTTGAAATTTACCAATGGTTTTTTTCTTTGATTAATTGGGTGTGTGTTTATATCTATATATATATATATATATATATATTTACAAATTGTCAATTTATAGGAAGTGGTCGGTAATTCGGTGAATGGGACTACTTATGTTGGATTAAGAGCACGAACAACAGGGGCTCCTCAAAATCACTGGTATGATTTCGTTGAGAAAACCATTTGAAAATTCGAAAAGTTTAAAAATATGAATTTTCATCCTTTTATACATGGAACTAAAACTTAGTTTTGATAAATTTAGGTTTGGCCCTTCGGGAGATCCAAGAGGCGCTGGAATTGGCACTCCGGAAGCCATCAAGCTCGTCTGGTCGTGTCACCGTGAAGTTATTTATGACGTGGGTCCTGTTTCTCATGGCTGGACAACTCCCAAATCGACCTAAATTAGTATATTTGGTAGATAAAATGAGATACTGAGATTATTTTTAATTGAGAATTAATTTAGTAGAGTTAAATTATTAATTAATTCTTATGTTTTTTGTATTTATTTATTTTATTTTATTTTTGTCTTTCTTAAATATTAAGAATTACTCAGTTAATAGAACTATTTTAAAAAAAAAAAGTTTTGATCAATTTATTAAAATAAATTGAGAACATAAGTAAGGTGTAATCAAAATTATTTACAGCCTGTGTGTATATATATATATATATATATTGGCAAACAAAAAAAGTACGTTATAGAATATTCATCGAATATCATTTCGTAAAAACATCATAGAACATTCATTCAAAACCATTTTATAAAATAATCTAAAATACTTAGAATATTTATTTAACATTACTTTGTAAATACTTAGATATATGTAGCTTTATGGTTAGCATCGGACAACATACAATTAATATGTATGGATTTTTTTATATATATATATAAAAAAAAAAAGATTTTAAAAATAATATTTTGAATTTTTTTTCCAATAAAATAAATAAAGCATTTTTTGAAATATTTCCTTTTAAAAAATTAACTTAATTTTTTAAAAATAAATTTATTACAAAAAATTGAAGGAATTTTGTACGAATATTACATGTTTTTTTGTAAGTAATTCACAACAATAAATTTATTTATGTATTTTTATTCTGATATATAGACCACAACAGTAATTAATTAAATATATATATATATATAAATATTAATATAATAATTAGAATAATAAAATATATTTTTTTTTAAAAAAAAAGGGTATAATCCTATTACAGGACTTACAGAAATCCAACCCAACCCATAAATAACGTGCCATATTCTACCTGAGCCTGCCCAATATAATTTTGGCTGACCCAGCCCAATATGAGTCTGGACCTTCGTGGGCCAGGATCTGCTCACCAGGCCCACTGTAAATATTTAAACCCAGTCCCTCTTTCTCATGTAAATCATATTTATCATTTCCTAAACCCTTCAGCGAAACCCTCTGCCGCCGCCGCCGCCGCCGCCGGTTCTACAGCTCTCCGGCCGCCATTGCAATTAATCGGAGAAGAGTAGCTACTTCTAGTGTCTTCCAGTGATTCTAACAAATGTCGTTGCTGGAAGTAATTACGAAAGCTTCGTCGGCAATTGCCAGCGTTCCCGACCAAGGATCTAGATATCCGATCGTGTTCAATCCGGACCCTATTTTTTCGAAACTGAAGCCGGAGAGCGACGCTCCTGTAGCTGGGGATCCTGTGAGAAAAGCTATCGGCTGGGAAGTATCCGAAATCGACAGCGAGCTTGTCGAATTAGGGCGGGGATTCTTCAAAAGGTTGAAGAAGAAGCTGAACTCCGCGAATCCGTTGACTAAGGTTAGTTTAATCGACATGATTGTTGCGCACCTCGAAAAAGTTGGGGATAAAATTGGAGTTTCATTGAATTTGAACAAATCAGAAAAATGGTATCCGTACAAGCTTATGGAGAAATTAGGGATTCTTCTCGGTAGGGATGCTAAGGAGTTGATTTTGGAAGGCTGTATAGTTTCGGAGGTTTGGGATTTGTTAGGAGTTTTGATAGTTAATGGAATTGTTGAGCATTCACTAACATCGTCGTTGATTTCTAAGCTGATTGAGAATCGAAAATCCGATTTGTTACTGTTGTGTGTGAAGCATTCCCTTGATTTGCATAGCCATGATATATTGTCGATTTTGAGATATTTTTTGATCCTGCCTGATGATGGTTTCGAGAGTTTGGTTAGTGTGAAGGAGGATTGGGAGAGGCAAGCCTTGTCGGCGATCGAAAAGGCCTGTGGCGGGAAAGGAGTCGGAGGGAAGGATAATATTTTGGCGAAGGAGGCGGCGCAGTTGATAATGTTGGCATACGACGGGTTTTCGGTGTCTGAATTTTGTTTGCATCATTTGCTCGTTTCTCCGAATCTTGACGAGGTTACGTTCTCGGCTTGCGTTGGTAGGTTGAACGGGGAGGAGATAAAGGTGTTGGTTAGGTATTTAGGGAAGTGGCTGAGGAAATACGAAAGGTTTCCGCAAGTGATGCCTTGTCCGAAGGCGGCGTCGGTGTTGGGTTTGACGGTTTGCGACTGGATTCCGAGTCTTGAGAATGTCACCAAGTGTCTTAGTGTGGTTGTCGACGAGCACTTTTCGTCGTTGATTTTGCAGAGTGAGTTTGATGATCTGAAATCTTTAGTGGAAATTGTTGGTTCTTTGGCTGTCGAGGCGCGGCTTTGTGGTACATTGGCGAATTTGGCTGAAAACTTGAAAATGGACCGAAAGGTACGAATTGAACTTTTTGTTAATCTTCATCTTTGAATTTGAGACATTTAATGATGTTCCACACTTTAGATTCCGATGAATTAATGTACTTTTATTGATTTCTCCTAAATTGCATCAATTTATCCTAAAGATATCGTAGAAGTTTTGTAGTTTTGAAAATATTAAAAGGTTAGGTCAGGTATTTAATGTGATGTTTTTTAAAAAATATATATATTATTGATGAATAGTGCTAAAAGGTCTGAAAATATCTATGAAAACAAAAGCCAAATTTTATGATCGCCATGTCTTTTAAGACTATTAGTCTTTGCTCCTATAAAAATTGTATCTTGCGAATAATTTCTATAGCCATTGAAACCTGTCCTCTGCAATTTTTTCGACATCTTTGTGTGCGCATAAGATGCTAAATTCCTTCCAATCCGTTGTCTACTTGTAAGATAATCGCACAAAAAGCCTTATGCTACTTCCTCATAAATTTACGCTTAAAAAGATAATCGGATCTTTTGTCATTGTCTTTATTTCAAAGGCATAGGCTCTGTTTTGATAGAAGTTTTGAATATTTTTGGGAAATAGTAAAAAATCGAGTATTGGAGTGGTTTTGTTATAAAATTTATATTTATATTTGTATTTTGAGGTAATATTTTTTGAAAATATTACGATTATGAATAATGTCAAAACTCAACAGAGTTATATTTGTTTTCACATCTAAATTACGATTACACTTCCTATAATCGCAGGAAAGTTGATCGCTGGCGTAGAGATCCTGCAAAGTGGAGTGAGATTTCTTGCGCCGTGCTGCTTCTGTTGTCGCGGTGAGGTATTTTGAGTATGAAAAATTTTGAATGCCGCAAAGTTGCAATAGGCAGATATATATATATATATGCGCTGTATTTTGGTCGAATTCGTGTTACTTATAGCTGTGGTATCGTAGTGTTTCTGAATGCCTTTCTTTGGTGTGGCCATACCTGCTTGCATTTGAAATAGTTATCACAGATGGCCGGCGATAGAATTCTTCTTGTGCTTAACTTGGTAGTTCTTGAATTGTTGTTTTTGGGTATTTTTTGGATGACTTGCTTAAAAATGTTTTGGTTAATACACTTAAACACAAATGATAGCCAAAGATAGTACTTGAATTGAATTGTCAAAATTATTTCATTATTCTTTTTGTTTTATAGTCCGTTAAATTGATGCACAGTCTATTTATATTTAAACAATTCTATGCACGTGCAATTTATTATTTTTATTTTAATAAATCTTTTTGGTTGTTCTATTTGAAGATTGAAATATCATTACTTTTAATCTTGGTTTTAATTAGTAGTGATTGAGTTGTAGTAAGTAATAAGATTACTTGTATATGTGGCCAAATTCAAATAATGCCTAGCATAATTTGCAATTATTTTATGCATATTTTATTTATAATAAATAATAATTTTATCATTATATTTTTACTTGTCAAGTCTACACATGCTAGTAGCTCTTACAATATAATTTGAAAAATCAGCATCACTAGGTGTGTTTGTTTGGAGGTTTTTGATTTTGAGTTGGAATTTGAATAGTAAAAATTTTGAATTTGAATAGTTGTATAATATGATATAAATAAGTGTTTGATGTGATATTTTGAATGTAAAATTGATTTTTAAGTATAATATAAAAAATAAAAAATAGGTATTTAATTTGATGTCTTTTGGAAAAAAAATGGGATGAATAGTGGATTGAAAATTCAATCCCCCAAACAAACACACTTATATTTCACAAACTACCATATATTTTTTAAAATATTGCACAATTCTTAAATGGCTAAACATTATAAAGAAATTTTGTGCAATACAAACACAAGAAATCTCATACAATTTCTAAACTACGAGAAAAAATATATATATATATATATATAGTAACAAAATTTTCAAACTGCGGGTGAATTGATATACAAAATTTACTCAGCAATAGGAGTTCCAATTCGACTACAAAATTCAAGGGCTGGATTGGTTGATGGTCTTAAAGAAGAAGAGATACAACAAAGAAGAAGAGATACAACAAATACACAATACGTACAATAAATTCTATTCAACATCATCCGCGCCTTGAATGTGATCAAGCCCTCCAATTCGATGTCTCCTCTTGTCGAACACAGCTTTGAAGGCCTCCCCCTCGGCGCGCAGCTGTTCTTGCAAAACGTTACGGTTTCTGCGCTCCCCTTGCCTCTTGCTAAGTTTCTCGTCTTCAGGTGGGGGGTTCGCTTTCTGCAAATTTTGCACGAGTTACTTATTACACAAAGGTAACATCGGAGCATTTGCAAATAATGTAACCGGGCGAAAAAAAACTCACCGAATTGTATCCAGGACCAGGGCCAATGATCAATGACACAACTCCTGATTTCCCGGAACCGATTGAAAAACCAATGCTGCTTCCGACCTGAAAAGGAAGGTGATCATCACATGTCAGTCCAAGGCTGAGGCCGACCTCAGATATCTTTTTTTATTTAGTACAATTCAAAACTAATCGGTGTCATAACTTCACAAAGTAGAATAACAAAAAAAACATACTCTTTGTCCACTATTTATCATTCATTTTGTACCAAATTTTGTTTTTTTACGTAAATTTTAAAATAGTAGTATTCTATATGTATGCAGTACAATAAAAGAAAGTATAATTACTAAAAAGAAATAAGAAAGTGAATACATTGATTTGGACAAAACCAAAATGGCAAAATAAATAAATAGAGATCAATCTTAGGGTGTGTTTCTTTGGCTATTTTTTTCCATTTCTATTATTTGGTCTCTGTGTTATTTGAAAATAATACACTTTTTTTTATCACAATATTAATCAAACATTATTTAAATACAAAACCTAAATCAAAATTTTCCAATCCAAACCCAAAGAAACACATATTTTTCAAATTCAAAATGTTTATCTAAGAAGCAAAAGGGACGAGATTGTATAAGCGAAGAGAATTCGATGCATAGAATATAACTTGATTGAGATAGCCAAAGAAGCTCGCGTACCTTGTCTGCCCAACGCACAGATTTACCTTTCTTGCTGTATGATTTTATTAAATTCGGGAGTGCGCCTGGATCTTCGACAGTTCCATCAGTCTTGTGTGCATCGTCGTCATCTAAATCATTCGACCACTTACTCTTCCCCAGTTCTTTCACCTCCTCTACCGTATGAATTTCCGAGGCATCCCCACTCTGCTCATCTTTTAATTGATCTAAATTCACAAACCAAGAGAAATGATTTAGGAAAGTAGGGGTAGACAGTCAGCAACAACCGACAACTATTTCAGACACAAACTAGCGTTCTCCATGACAATAGAAGGGGTAGGGGTCTCGGGATATTAGTTATTGATATTAAAGCATAATTTTGATGGATCACTGATACCACAAATCTATAGAGCAGGTAAGATGCCACAAAGGTAGTTTGACGTATTAACGATGTTGTAGAATAGTAATAGGAGAAATAAAGAGTCAATTGCTTTTCTTTCAAATAATGCATTTGCTACTACATTCACAAGAAATCAGAAAAATGTGTTGGTAGCAATCTCAATTATCTATTTGCTTGATATGATAATGAGGTATTGGTTTACACCAATGTTATACACCCTCCGTTCAATCATAAAGTAAACACTTTGAGTGTGTTCATTTATGGGAATTTGCAAAAAATCTACTATTCATCCAAAAAAATTTCCCATAAAATCAAATCGAACACCTATTTTTTATTTTTAGTATTATACTAAAAATTAATTTTACATTCAAAACATCACATCTAACATCTATTTATGTCACATCGTACAACTATTTCAACTCAAAATTTACTATTCAAATCCCAACTTAAAATCCAAACCCCCAAACAAACACACCCTTTGTCATTTTCGTCTACAATTTTTTTTGTGTGGCCCCTACTACCCATTACAAATACCCCTACTTTTACATTTATTTACATTCATACCATTATATTACTTCATACAAAAGTAAGGGCATAAAAATCTTTACACAAATAAATGCCACCAGCTACTATTTAGATATTAATAATGTTTTTAATCCTTGTATCAAAAATAAATGTTTAACTTATGGCCAGACGAAGGGAGTATTTGGCAGAAATGGTATACAACATAGATCGTACTTAGACAGAATTTGGTGTGCACAAAAACTTAGCATAAATAGAGTACCAGGTGAAAATTTCATTTGAAGCATGAACAGCATACCATCATTACTGGAAAAACCTCCGGATGGTCTGGCAACTGTTTCGTTGTTTGCGTCTTCAGGACCAGAGGAATCAGCAATATGATTGCCATCATCCATATCCATATCAACCTGCCGAATAAATTGTTAGGTCATCTCACCATCAACATTTATGCAGCGTGATATACAGGCAGGTACAATCGTGCAACAAAAAAGAGTTATATCAACAACGGATATGCAAACATCTTCATTAGCATTTTACTGTTCGAACGTATAGGGTTAGATAAGAATATTTACTATATATTTCAAACAATGCTTTTTCCTCCTCTCTTAATGCTGTTTTATAAAACAATTCCTAATAAGATGCTATAATTGGAGTGAGGGCCGTACCTCTTGAATCCCATTTTCTTCCAGGTCATCTCCATGGATCAAAGACTGCCAGAGCCCAGTGCATCGCAGCATAGGTAAAATTTTATCAAGGTCTCTCTATCAAGCAGAAACTTAGCATGTTTAGAAACAAAATAAACTATCAAAACCTTGATATCTAGCTTCATATACATGGACGGGGCCTCCTCCCACTGATTTGCCATATCTTGTATGTCATTCTGTGTGAAATCATGAACATTCCTTGCAGCGCAGCCCTGATACCAAAAGATAGCAGAAAGTTGTAAATTTTATCACCAGGTTTAAATCTCCCTTGTGTTCTGTTAAAGTTCAATTTGGTCGACCAAGGAAAGTGCCATGATATGGATTTTCTATTACTTCACCGAATGGTTGTCCATCTCGGAAGTTAATCAACATATTGATCATATTTCGGTTTAGTTTCATCAATTATCCAGTCACTACATCTGATACCATTTCAAGTGCATCTACCTTTGTTTGCAAACATGAAACATGTATTTACTACGTACGGAAATTGAAATGAATACCATACCGCAGGATCTTTGTACGTAGCTTCTACCAAATAAACCTCATACCCAGATCTCTGCAATAAAGCAAATGAAAATCATGTTAAGGAACATCCAATGAAAGCATTTTACCAACTACCACTTCAAAATTTGACTCATAAAAATCAAAAGTAAAAAAAAAAAAAAAAAAAAACAAAATAAGAGATGTTGAAAATGACAGGATAATGAACACGAGCAGCAATATATCCATAAACTGATTCCTAAACTAAAGATCAAACTAAGAATTCCCAGACAATTATATAGTTAGATCTAACTATTTTATCGAACAAAGCCCTTGCATATAAACAGAAATTAGAATCATAAATGTTAGATAAAGTGTAGATGAAACCTAATTATATTTTGCATTTTGCAATAATAATGCACATCTCAGAGAAGTAAATGAATCCAGAAATAAACCAGGGAATGAGAGCTGGAAATCAGTCATGTCAAGACGGGTTGTTGAAAACTCAATCAAATATAATAATGGAACGAACAGAAATTTAGAATTACATCAATAACTAGTTATTTGACGAAGTACAAGTAAGGTAAAGGTCAATCGCATATCCAAGCCACTGTAAGAACAAAATCACGTGATTACAATTATGACTTTAGATAAAGTGGCACAAAGCATTTGGTTCTTTTTGAGATTTTTTTATTATACAATCCCCATGATTCCCTATAAAATCACATTATTTTCTTTCACATAACATCACATCCAACCACTATTTAACCTAAAATACAAATACAAACACAAGCCAAACACACCCTATAACCACAAACATAATAAAACCCAGACGATATCTTGCTTCAGTTATGATAAACCAACACACGAAAATAGGGGAAATACAAAATCATCCAAAGCATATATGAATGAAATTGGATATGGTGCAATAATGCATAATAATTTACTCATATCTAGAACTCCAAATTACTTTTAATAAGTAGTTTCTAACAGGCCCCAAAATAAAGATAATCCAAATGCAAATAATCCTATTTAAGCCAACATCATCCAAATTTATGAATCTCAATATATTAGCTCAGTTTCACACATAAAGAGCACATATAGCTAAATCATGTGTTCTTTAAAAATCAACCAAGGTAAATAATGATGCATTAAGCATTATAATGTGGTTGAATTTATAACAATCTTACAAGAACGCGTTGTTTAAAAAAAAAAAAAGCATATGACAAACTTTTATAGCATATGTGCACAAGTGCAATGTTCTCTTGTCATAATTCATATCGGCAGTTCTAGTCATAACATATTATAAGAATCACGCCGTCATCACTGGGTTAGACAGTGAAATGATCCCAAAAACAAATGTAAAATCTTTCTAATTCCCTTAGGGCAAGGTCTACTAAGGGTAGCCCAAAGGGCAACATACAGCTATCAACTTTCAGCTAAAGTATGATTAATACTTCTTCAGACTAAACCTCCAACCCTGAATCTTAAATTCGCCGAACATCAATTTTTATGATGAACCACTATCATTCCTTAATGATAAATTGATGGTTGTCTGTTACCCTTAGGAGACATGCAGATCACAAGCAGTTATTAATAGAACCAACCCGTGCGTGCCAAGAAAGGAGCTTTAGAAGGAGTAAATACATTGAAGATTATTTCCGTGAGACAACATATCACTAAGGATAAATTAGAGAAAATTAGTTCTTTGATATTAGCCATCTTAAGTCATTTGTAAATCATGGCATTTCAAACAGAACTGAGAATTTGAAACAAGTTAACGAGTCTCAAATATAACCAGACACGATTAAGAAATTATAAAGGAGGACCTCAAACAACATAGTAATATAGATGGAATAAATTTTGACTTATTATTGTATTTATATGTGTTGGGATTATGTTCTTATTTGCAGAAAAACGTAAGGAGAATGCACATCTTCAACGCAGACACACAAAATCCCTACCAGACTAGAAGTCATGGACCTCTAAGACAAACCCGAAAGTAGAACAACAATACAACTGAGAGGCCGCCTAAAGAGAGAAATGAGGGTATACCTTTGCAGTTGCCCAAAATTGAGCAAAATCAGCTACCCGCAGATTGCGGTCATCCACTAAGACGATGCACAAATACCAGAAAGAAATGGGTCAATTGCCGAATAAACTGCATCTGTAGTCAGTCAAACTTAAGGCAGTGCAAATGCACTGCATCACCACTTAATTATAATAAGACTGTTCTGCAACTGTCATCTCTTGCAACTTAAAACTCTATGCTTCTTAGAGATTTTTTTTTTTTTAATAACATCCAAGGAAAACTCAAATTCAATTTAAAGGAGAAAAATCACTAGCTTGTCTCCTCACACATAAGCTTACCTGGCATGCCACTGAATCAGATGTGCTTAGCAACATACAAAAAAAAATAATAATAACAGAAAAGAACACACAGCTTCTACTCTTAAAAGAAAAAATAAACAAAGAGCACATCATTGCATCGCCAATAAAAATTAAAAGAAAAAAAAGAAAGAGATAGATCAATGAAGCTAATTAACCCATTTTTAATAGCCAGGCGTGTATAGATAGAAAACAGCTCAAAGTCAAATTTGGAGTACTACTTGTCTACAGAAAAATCATTACCAATCACAAAGGGAAAGTTTCCCTCATCCAGGGTCTTCTTAAATGCCTTCAACATGCTTGACCTATAAGCCTGAAATAATCATGTGTAGGAGAACTTAAATATAAGCAAATACTGAAAATTAAAAAAGAAGAGCCGCATTCCGTATAATTACTGGTTTTGGGACAGTTTCCTTGCTATAACCAATAGAAAACCAAAAATACTAATCCATTCACACGAGAAAACTTAGATTAAAATATGCAACAGAAAATCAGAGTGATACAATCACCTCTTCCATTTCAGGTTCATAGCAGTACTCCATGACCTTCTTCGTTGTGGTTTTTTTCCCTCTACTTGAACCCGAAGATTTTGAGCCCTCAGTCTCCTCAACCTGTAACATAGAAAAGAGTTTGTTTACATATGATTCGAGCATATCTTTCATAATAAACTTTGAGACAAGGCATTAATATAAGTACTGCCATCAAAAAAAAAAACAATATAGTGGATGTGAAAAAAGCTTAGTTTAAAAATTCAGACAATAAAATCCATAACATATTAATCACCTTTTCAACCTCAGTCATAAAATATTCATCCATGGAATGAATCCGTGGAGCCGTGCCACCATTCTCAACTTCAAGGTCACGCAAAAGTTTTGCCAAATAGCTCTTACCACTGCCTGAAATTGTCAAGGAAAACATACCACAAATTAGTAATCAGTTTAATATAACTCAATGGGCTAATTATTCTGATATAAAAATGTTGTAAGATATGAAATTTTTACAACATAACAAAACTTCAATCTCTACAGAATGCATTTCTGAATTTTGAAACAAATAATGAAATACAACATAACAAGGTAAATGTGCTAATAATCAACCAGGCTGTGCGAGAAAATTCTCACAAACTTAAAACAAACTTTAAATGAATTTCTTATACAAGCCAACAAGCTATTCTTCAATCACCAAGGGTGGTGGATGCCCCTTGTGCCTGTGGACTTTAAATACCTCTTAATAGACAATAATCACAATATACATGTGCACCTTATGAAACACATCATAAAAATTCCAAAAAAATGGAAAATCTCTCAGGCAGCAATGCCAATAACTCCTTGAAATGCATGATTCTTCAAGTTACTCAATTTTATACAAAGTAGATGAAAACACATATAACTTGATAAATTGGGAACCTAAAAAATTGATGTCTTGAATTCTCAATGATATGCAACAGTTACAATAATAAGAAAAGCATTATAAAATCCAACAAAAAGAAAATTATGCCTTTCAATTCCAAGTGTTTGCATCAGAACAGGGAAAAAGAGATGATTTAGAAGGCGCCCAGGTTCATTCTTGGCAGATTAAATTAGCATACACATAAAATATGTTTAGAGGAACCGAGGAAGAAATATAGTTCGGGACTAATAATACAGATGGCATATTCTCCACCAAGAACCAAATGGATGTCGAGAAACAATCTGACTTTAGTTAGTAAGTAATACGTTGAATTGATAAAAAAAAAATAGAACCTGGAAGCCCTCGCAGAATTATGACCATGTGATCTGGGCGGTTAGCACGGTGTGGATGTTTTAAAATGTGAGAGGCATCAATGATTCTTGGCTTATCCAATGGAAGGTGCCTAGAAGAAAACTCATCGCGCTCCCCATTCAATGTCTTGGCTGAAGCTATTTTCATGGATTGTGTGTCCTGACAGTAAATAGGCCAATAAGAAATTTGTGGAAAGAGTGCTGAAAAATATTGTTCAAACAAAAAAGTTTAAAAAATATACTCAACATGACGAGCATACAAATAACAAATAAATTAATACATCAGGGTGAAGTCACAACATATCTTTTAGATACCATTGGTGGTCTAAAAATCAAATCAGAGCTACTAACTCAAGGACACACTGTGCCAAAAAAGTACTCTAAATAAACAGCTTCACCAAATTTCACTATCACCTTATCCACTCCTAAGCACTGAACTACAACAGTAGGAACTTTGCTCTAAAAATTCCTAATCCAACTGGCTGCAAAAACCACAAACTTCAAGCGTTAAATGTGAAATTCGACGGCAACATGTAGCTTATTGTCATCCCAGTAACTGATACAAAATTGCCAAAAGAATGCTATCAGGAGTAACCTACATAGATTCACTATGATAGAGAAAGAAAATAATAGGTCCATCTATAAATTTTATCAGCTCACGACCTCATCCAGTAGATTACATCTTGTAATTTAAAACCTGATCTCTAAATCATAGTACAAACCAAGAAGTGTTTTGTTAGCTAGCTCAATCAGAAGTATCAAAGTATGTAATGTACCTTCGAAAAAAAGCCATTTAGAGCAACTTGACTTGAGTAGTGACCGGAAACCGAAGTGATCCCTTCAGAAACCAATGTAGATTGGGGCCGGAGAGAGGATGCAGAATCAACATAAGGCTCAGGAAAACGAAATCTCGGTGGTGCAGGAGTCGGTGGCGGCTGATTCATGGGAATTGGAGAGTGGGAATTGAATCCTGGAGAAACCTGAACAGGGTGCACATTATCACTGTGATTTGGTAAACCGTAATACCCCAATTTAGGCTGCATAAACTGATTGTCGCGGCTTCCTACACTAAAATTTCTTTGCTGATCTTGATAAGCTACATTTTCATACTTCATAGCTTCAGGATATGGCGATCTCTTTAAAATCTTGTTACTTGAGCTGATCGCTGGGCGATCCCCAAAATTTCCATTATTTTCACCTAAATTGGACGTTTCTAAAGAATGATTTGAATGCCTGTAACCACCATCGAGATTCTTGTCCAAACCATGGTTCATAAATCCATGGTCGTGAATCAATTTCAGTCTCCTCTCATCTTCCGACGCAGCACACGTGTAGCTCTCATTCGCACTGTCGAATCGCATCCTCTTACCTCCAACATGACCATTCTGATCATAATCCGGATACGAATTCCCGTAGTAATTGCTGCTGAAATTAGTGTTACCATTCCACGGCCGAGGCGGAGGGTATGGATTGACAGGGGGGCCTCCTTGATGATCCACAAACGGATCGTAGGGAGGCTGGGGCGGCGGCGGAGGCGGTGGTGGCATGTGGTAGAATTGATCTGGCGGCGGCGGCGGTGGTCTGAAGTACTGCGGAGGAGGAGGGGCGGGGCAGAAAGGGAAGTGGGAATTTGAGCAGACCGGACAGAAATTACCGTGTGGGGGGCGAGGACCCCATGGATACTCCATGATCAAGCTCGTCGAGAAAGGGAATACGTGAGATTATTCACGAATTAGGGTTTCGGAGAAGGAAGAAATCACAGAGCAGAGATCGATGGAGGAGGAGATACTTCCACAGACAGGTAACACGATTTCTTTTGTTTTTTAAGCTAGAAGGTAAACACGACTTCTTCTGTTTTTCACCTTGCAGGTAAAAACACGATTTTAGTTATGTCAATATGCTCAACCCACGTAATGGGCTGGGCTATGTGCCTATTTTGATTTTGGGCCTACCTAGGCTCTATTTATTCGAATTAAACTTGGCACTATTTATATACATAAATAAATAAATTCATTATCTTTTCCATCTGAAAATATATATTCATTTGAACTGACACAAAATTTAATAAATATGTATTATATTAATTAATTAATTATGATATAAAGTAAAAATATTTTATAAAATATACTATTGATTGTGTAAGTAATTATGGTGCTTTTTTAATTAATTAATTATGATATAAAGTAAAAATATTTTATAAAATATACGATTGATTGTGTAAGTAATTATGGTGCTTTTGAAGATAAATATAATATTGAAAAATATAAATTAAATAGTGTATAAGAGTTATTTTCTATAAATATATATATATATACATAATTTTTTTTATGGAAAAAAAAAACATAGATTTTATGGACAAATAAAGTTTTTTTATTATTATTATTATTCCAATCAATATATTGATTTGTTGTACATTCAAAATAATCAAAAATCGCATACTTTTATTTAATATAGTATAGATTATGTTAAATAGAAGGATATGGATGTGTTGCATTGATATTCTTACGTTGAAATCAATTATAGTATATGTTATGAAATTATATCCTGAATTGAGATTATTTGAATAATACTCCGCGTAAAAAAAAAAACGAGTTAATATTAGCGGAAGCAAAAATCTCCTATCTATATCTATATTTTAAAACTACCCTAAAACTAATCTAACAAATTAATGTGCTAAGAATATTAGGCTTCGGTTTAAGGGTAATAGAGGATTGGACTTATTTGGTGGGCCGAATTAAGGAGTGAGCCGACTTATTTTATTTATTGAGAGATTTGTTGTGTTAAGCTTCGAAAAACCAAAATTTTCAACATATTCTATTTATTTTGGCGGTGATTTAACCAAATCTCAAATACGTAAATATAAGCTACTTACCTTACACCAGTAAGTTTGATCATCGTTTTTTTTTTGTCCTTGCTACATCCACAAACAAACATTAATGCAAATAAAATACATCACACATAAACTAGTTCTAGCATACACCTAGATATATTTAGAACTGTAAAACAAACGAACAATTCGCGAATTGGGCTCAGTTCAGCTCGTTTGAGCTCGCTAAGAGCTCATTCGTTAAGCTAAACAAGCCGAACACGAAAATAAATTTTGGTTCGTTATGTTCACAAATAAGCTCGAGCTTGTTCGCGAATGTTCGATAATATTTATTAGAAAATTTAAATTAATACTTTTATATTTAATAAGTATATATATCTTTATAAATATTATATTTCATTCTGTTTTTTATTTAAATTTATTAATAAAAATTGTATTATTATTAATTATATTTAAATTTCTTTTAGAACTTAAATAAATTAATTAGAATTTCTCTTAACGAGCCGAGTCGAGCAGAACACGAACAAAAAAATTGCTAATGAATCGAGCTCAAACAAAAATTTCAGCTCGTATCTCTTAACGAACGAAAATAAGCCCAGCTTAAACATAACAAACTCGACTATGTTCAGCTCGTTTACGACTCTTGATATATTACAAAGTAACCCAACACATAGTACACACCTATACTACAAAATAAGCATACAAGCAAGTTTTAATAAATTCAATATTAACCTAATGATTCTAAGCACAATTCACAATATATATGCATATTCACAAATGAGAGCAATAATATGCCAAAAACTAAGTACAAAATCATACGGCTGAAGCACCTGAATCGATCGATCACTACCACTAAAATCTTCGGAGACACAACGACTCAAACATCATAACTTAGAAGAACACTAATCAAACTAGGAGAAAACCTAGAAGAACCCTAAGCGACTAGAAGGAAAGCCGTTGCAAAATTTTATATAAAACTTTGAATAGAAAAATTTTAAATTTGAATAATTGTAATATAATATACTTCATCCCGTCCGCCAAATTTATTCTCACATTCCTTTTTAGTCCGTCCACTAAATTTATCTCATTACTAATTTTGGCAAAGTCAACAAATTAATATTTAATTATTACCCTTCATTCAACACTTATTTACAACAAATTTCATAACTTTATTAGATTATCTATCTTCATTTACTACTTTACTTTTTAATTAAATTTTCAAAAATATCCTCAATTACCTATCATTTTTTTAATAAAATATTTATTTTTCTTTATTTCCTTGTCGAGCTCAAATGTGCTAGTTTTAATGGAATGAGGGAGTAACTAGATACAGTATTTTACTAAACTAACAAAAATTTGAGGGTGTGGTTGTTTTGTGAAATGGTTTGAAGAGATATTTTTTTATGAGAAAAATTGCAAAAAATATCTCCATGAATATCCAATCATCACATTTCTCATTTATTTATTTCACTAGCAAAATATATCATATACGCTTTGCAAAAGTCATTTTTGTTGTTATTTGGCTGCGCTTGAGACAACAGTTGTGCGAACGTGATGCGTGGCGTGGCTGTATAACAGAAATGACGACTTCACAAACGTATATGATATATTTTGTCAACAAAATTAATAAATGACAAAAATGTTAATTGAATATACGTTAGATGATTTATTTGCAATTTTCTCAATTTTTTATTTTTTTTTTTGTGAAATATAAAAAAATTTGTAGATAATATAAAAATAATAAATATATATAATATATCAATTTTTAGAATATATATATATACATATTAATTTTTGACAGAAAGAAACCATCCTAAATTTTTGCATTTTACATATTAATTTTTGACTGAAAGAACCCATCCTAAATTTTTTCATTTTACATAAACATTCATAACTATTTTTTCCATCTACTACAAATAATAAATAAGACAATATAATGGGACTAAGAAAATATTAATTAATAGTATATTTTATAAATGTATATTGAAAATAATAATATTTATATTTATATCTTATATTACATATTTGAGTATGATAGATTTTATGTACATTAAAATTTTTAAATTTTTTTAATAAAAATAAATATATCAATTAATATAATTAATAACTTATCATTTATATTATATAATTATAATTGATACAATTGAGGAAATCATAATTAATAAATTGATATACTTATTAAATTTAAAATTTACAATAATTACGAATATTTTAACATTATTACTAAAAATAAAAATATTTTTATTAATTAATTTAATTAATAGCTTATCACTAAAATTATATAGTTATAATTGATATATCTAATAAAATCATAATTAATAAATGCGTTTATTAAATTTGAAAATTTACAACAATCTATTTGGTAACTTTTTCATTTAACAACTTTTTCATTTAACTTTTGCACGTAGGTTAAATTAAATTAATATTTTATAAATATATAATATAATAAAATAATATACTATTCGTTTTGCTCTTAAAAAATAATACAAAAAGGAAAATGTACGTACATTTTTTTATATTTAATTGGGAATTATTATTTTTTTAAAAAATGAATATACTAAATGTGAAATAAAAAATTTACTAATAGATGAAGAAAGTATTATATATTTGAGCTTGATGAATCTCATGTAAAATAATAATTTTTTTATTTTTTAATAAAAAAAATATATTAATTTATATACTTAGTAACTTACTATTAATATTATATAATTAGCAATTGATGTAATTAAGGAAAATTATAATTATAAATATATCTATAAACTTTTAAAATTTATAATAATTATGAATATTATTTTTAAAAATAAAAATAATTATATTAATTGATATAGTTAATAGGTTGTCATTAATAAATAAATTATAGTAAGTTATTAATTATATTAATTAATATAATTATGGAAAGCTATTAACTATATTAATTAATATAATTATTTTTTGGAAGAAGATCAAATGCTGAAAGAAATAATTTCAGCACAGAGTTGAATGGGTAAAAGTTAGTGAGGTTAATTTATATTATTAAATTATGTAATTAATATAATTATGTATAATTAAGTTTTAGTTATTCAGCATGGTGCTGAAAAAGTAATTTCCGCACCATATCCATGTTGTTATTTTTTTTTAAAAAAATAATACTCCTTTTCAGTTGAACGTTGTTATTATTGATTTTTTAATATTAATTACTATATCAATTTGTAATTCAAATTAAAAAAAAATAATAAAAATGTATCTATTAGTCTCTTATAATAATAATATTTGTAGAATAAATTATTTAAATATAATGATATTTTTTATGTTAAGTACAATAACTAAATGACAATTTTGCAGCTAGACAGAATAACACATATACTGTGTATTTGTTCATAATTATATGTGAGATGTATATTAATATTTTTTATATGTTAAAATCCACTTGTGTAATGTATATGGCTAAAATATATATTTTATTTGTATTATATTAACATATACAATGTGAAGTTTGTAATAATACTGTCTATAGTCAGACAGCTCGTCCACCTATACATAATTATTGTAAATTTTAAAATTTAATAAGTATATTTATTAATTACGGTTTCTTTAGTTATAATTATTATAATTATATAATATTATAGTAGGTTCTTAATTATATCAACTAATACATTTTTCTTATTATTAAAAAAATTAAAAAAAAAATATTGATTTAGACGAGACTTAGCGAATTCAAATATATTACATATAGAGGAGAAAATTTTATCAAACCCCCACCAATTCAAATTGATATTTACGTTCACTCCCTCCATTCTTCTTAATTCTCTTACAAACCCCCCAAATGTTTTCTTCTTCATCCTCCATTTCTCATTGCAGAAGCATTTCTCGTTTTCTGCAAGACAGTAATGACCCTTCCTCGTACTCTCCGAAGCCTCTCTCTCTCCACTTCTCCCATCTCGTAAGAATCACTCTCTCTCTCTCTCTCTCTATATATATATATATATAATATATATAATTAAAATTGTTTTTAATTTGTGTTCGACGCGAAAAATCGAAGCAGAGATGTCAGGAGATTGGGTCGCTGTCGATGAACGGCTGCGATTCGAGCGGAGGCCACGTCGGCACGGTGGAGACGCGGACTTTCTCCGCCGTGCCGACGCTCGGCGCGGCGGCGCGCCGCCTCGCCGCCGCCGTGCGCGATCTGAAGGGGGGGCCGCCGCCGGTGGAGTCCGGGATTATTCGCGTCGAGGTCAGTGGGTTTTTATTTTTGGATTTTTTTAAAAAAAGATTAATAATATTTTTTGAAAGAAATCAGTTGTATTTTTTAGGTTGAGTTTGATGCTATATTTTATGAGAAGAAAAAAATATTTTTTCGATATCTAATTGCAGAAAATTAAATTTTTTTTTTTCAAAAAATATAATATATTATAAATAGTTATGATTTTTATATTATGTATATAATTTTTTTATATATATATATTGTATAAAAAATATTTAAATAAAAATACAAAATAAATCATTCCTGAGGTAGTGTGAAAATGGCGGTGGCGGGCATGCAAGGAATGATGGGGAGTCCGCCGGTGGGATTGTGCCACGTGGTTGGTCGAGATCGATTCTCACGTAGATTGCCCAATCTTGTTTCTTATCTCCTCTGAATTCTGATTGTACATTCACTCGAATTGCTTGCGTTCTAGCGTTTCTAGGTGATTGACTTGATTTTTTTATTTTTAAATAGTATTTTAGTTTTTTTGTCCGTACAAAAAAATTTATATTTTTAGCGCGAAAATTTAAAGGTATTCCGTTCCGTGAAAATGACTATGGGTGTGTTTATTTATATATTTTGATTTTTTTATTTTAATTTAAATAATAAATAATTAAATTGAAAATAATTATTTAATATAATATAAATATAAATATATAGATGAGATATTTTAAATTTAAAAAAAAATTAGTATAATATAGCTAGAAGTTAGATAATTGATGTAAAAGTTTTTAACTGAAAAGATATTTAATAATATGCACTTTGTCAACATCTACTTATGAAAAAAGAAATAATTGAGATTTTTGGAATGGACATAAAGATATTTTACTTCATGAAATAAAATAAGATTTATTTATTTTTTGTAAAAAAATATGGTAAATGACAAAGTAATTTTTAGGGTTTGTTCTTTTTGAAAAAAATAATTTTATTTGATAAATTTTCAAGTGTATTCTTTATACAAACAAAATATATATATTTATTTATTTTTTTTTATGTTATTTATATAATTCTTTATATTTTATAAAAAATATATATATTTTTTAAAGTATTTCACAAAACAAACACTCTTTTATTTTGAGATGTGTTTGGTTAATTTTTGATATATGTTTTTGTTTGAAATACTAAATATTGTGTTGTATATTGATATTTTTGGAGAGTTAAATATATTATTCTTTCTAATTATGGATTTCAAATTTTACTATTATATTATTTTATAAAAAAAATAATATTATTATTAGGACAATTTTTTTAAATAAAATTAATAAATTTATTGTTTTAATTATTATTTATTAGTCTAATTTTTATGTGAATTATAAAACTACATAGATGATAATTGGTCGGATTCTATATACTGTATTAGATCCTAAATTCAAATTAAGTTTGATTATACAGGACGGAAATTATACTCAGGGATCCAATAAATCTCTTTTTTTTTTTTTATCATTTTTAAATTTTTAATTTAAAATTGATGTATTTATTAAAAAATATTATAACAAAATAATAAATAGGAGTATATTAAATTTTAAAAATATTTTTAATATAATCATATTGTTAAAAATTATTTTTTTTATATATATTTGATACAGTATTTTTATTAATATTATAAATTGAAGTCCAAGTTTGCCTTAGGGTGTGTTGGTTTGGGGGATTGGATTGAATTTACACTGTTCATCCAATTTTTTTCCTTAAAAAATATAAAATTAAACACTTATTTTTTATTTTTTATATTATGCTAAAAATCAATTTTACATTCAAAATATCACATCAACACCACCTATTTATATGACATCGTACAACTATTCAAATTAAAATTTTTTACTATTCAAATCCCAACTCAAAATCCAAAACCCCAAACCAAACACACCCTTAGTACCCTAAAAATCCGATTCGGATCCGATTAGGGTACCGAACGTATATATTTTAATAAAAAAAGCAAAAACCTAAAAAATATGTCGATGGTTTGGCGAAGGTTCCAATTGAGGAGCAGATCGAGTCGTTGGCATGGCTTCAATCGCAGAGCCACAGCGGTGTTCTTCCTCGCTGCTATTTCTCGGGGAGGGATTCGAGGACTGTTCCGCTGATTGATCGCATCGACGGAAATGGAAACGCTTGCGAAAATGGCAATGACAATGATAATGATAATTATCGCCGCAGAAAATTGGTCAGTGTTGCCGGATTGGGTGCTGCAGTCTCCTTCAGCCATCTCCGCCCTTTCTCCTTGGGAGATTGGCATTCGATCAAGAGGTATTTGTGCTTGCAGCTTGATTTGCTATTGATGTTGCGGAATTATCGATTGTTGGTTAGGGTTTAGGGTGATGATTTGTTCCGTTTTAGTTTAGAAAATTGAATATTGATTTATGAACTTGTTTGAATCAAAGGTGAAAATGATAAGATTGATGGAATTATTAATGTGTTTGAATCCTACTTCTGCTTGTATTTTTCTGCAGATTTTTATCGAAAACTTCTCCATTAATTCGTGCTTATGGCGCAATGCGTTTTGATCCAAAGTCGGATGTGGCTCCGGAGTGGATGGAATTTGGATCCTTTTATTTCATGGTCCCTCAGGTAAATCACAGCTACATCTAATGGAATATTGCAATTTTCAATTCATATTCGTGAAACTTTTGATTGTTCAATTTGATATTCAATCTGTTTCAAATTTTAAATAATATTCGTATTTCAAATTGTTAGATTGAGAATTCAATCTAACATTTAATAATATCATTCAAATATTCGATTAGTTTTTGTCCTAGTTGATTTGATTCTAATCTGTTCGATTCGAAAATTTATATTTAAAAGTTTTAAAAATAATATTAAGAAAAGTATAGTTGTAGTTTTAAATATATTATATATGTATAATATATTTTATATTAAAATTCGATAGTTATATTTGATTTGTACTCGAATCAAATCCAATATCTATATTCCAATTTGAATCATAAAATTTTGAACACGGAAAGGTTCAAATTGAATATCAAATTGAACAAATTTTTTAGATTGATTTACAATCCTAATTACACCCACACATAGTAGTTTATTTTAAGAACATATTTTTATGGAGCTGAACACTGGTTACAGGTTGAGTTTGATGAGTTCAAAGGAAGTTCGATGATTGCTGTGACCATTGCATGGGACAATAGTCTCTCGCAAACCTACGGGCAAGCAATTGCCACACTCGAAGAAACACTCTGGCAGGTTCATATCTCTGTCTGGTTTTTCGACAAATGTGTTTGGTTGCTAGTATCTTTTTCCATTTTTACCTTGTCTTGATTGCTCCATGTTTACATTTTATTTGCAGGTTTCAACATCCGTCCAAAGAATAAATGGCAATTCTCGTCCAACTCTTTTACTCCACCAGACTCATGTTCCTGACAAAGCATCATGGGATTCAGCTGTTAAGCGTGCTTTGGATTTGATGACCCGGAAAAATGCGACGCTTGTTAAGGTAGTCAATCATCAACCACAGGCTTCATAACAGAATGCCCAAATCTTTTATCATGTGATACTGATATTTTTTTAAATAAGATATTAATTATTTATACACGACTATATGCATTTGTCCTTGAAACTACAGGTTGTTCTTGCGCGTAGCAGCAGAATACTGAGTGATGTGGAGATCGACCCTTTAGAATGGTTGACAAGCTTGCAGGTTTTTTTTTCAGCTTTTGAATTTTGGTGTACATAGTGTGTTTGTTTGGGGCTTTGGATTTTGGTTTGATATTTGTTGGGGCAAAAGAATTGAGGAATAGTGAAAATCCCCGAAATCCTCCCAAACAAACACACCCTTAAATTGCTGGTGTAAGAATATTGTAGATAATGATATTTACCTGCAGGTTGAAGGAGCTAATGCATATCAGTTTTGTCTTCAGCCTCCGGCATCACCTGCATTCATTGGAAACACTGTGAGTAACTTTCTACATTTGTTCGATAAGAACGTCCCATTGTTCTGTTTCGTCACTGTAATAAATGTTTGCTAATCTTTATGTAAAAATTGTAAGCACAATTTAAATGAGCTATGATATTCCGATTTCAGTCTTGTAACGGATACCCTGATACAATTGGCTACTTCTTTCTTATTCACTTGTAAATAGCCGGAACAGCTCTTCTATCGACACCAACTTAGCATTTTTAGCGAGGCATTGGCTGCAACCCGAGCTAGAAGTGACAATCCATCGTTAGATTTACAGATGGGGCTTGATTTGCTTACCAGGTATTTCTCACTTCTAAGAGCGATGAGTCAAATGCTCTTGTGTAGTTGGAAACTCTCGAATTTGAAATTTATCTCTATCTAAATCATGTTATTTGAATTCAATGGCAGTACTAAAGACCACAATGAGTTTGCTGTCGTAAGAGACACTATAAGACGAAAGTTTGAGGTGAGTGAAGATTTTCTACTCTCTGTTGTTGTCATTTGTAACATTTTACGAAAATCATAGAAACAATTTGTATTCTAGAATGTCTGTTCTGGCACAATAGTCGAACCAAGCAAAGCTCTACGAAAACTTCCCCGCATCCAACATCTTTATGCTAAACTGGCTGGTGCACTTGAGCAAGAAGATGATGAGGTATCAGACCTTGCAATCACTCGTGTATATATATATATATATGTATTCAGTTTAGATGTTTCAACTGCTGATGGGATACATTTTTTGATGTTTTCAGTTTAAGATTTTATCTTCCCTTCACCCTACTCCTGCAGTTTGTGGGCTTCCCACCGAAGAGGCACACTCATTAATATCCGAAACCGGTAACCAAATTTCCACAATATTTTGGTCACGCTATAGAATATAAGGACAATGTATTGATCTTACATGCTTCATAAAACTGTCCTTACAGAAATGTTTGATCGGGGAATGTATGCTGGTCCCGTCGGGTGGTTTGGCGGCGCAGAGAGTGAATTTGCTGTTGGAATAAGATCGGCATTGGTTGGGAAGGTGAGAACATTTTAATCTAACATTAATTCCCCTTTCAGCTTAAGGGTATATATAATTTATCGATGAAATGTATTGATTTGAATCACAAGGACATTGGCGCCGTGCTGTATGCTGGAACCGGGATAGTAGACGGGAGCAACCCTTCTCTTGAATGGCAAGAACTGGAGCTTAAGACATCCCAGGTTTTCGCCTCGACTGTACATTCTAAATATATCACATTTCGTTTCCAACTCCCTGACCGACAGAATTTTCCTACGGTTCTTTCAGTTCACTAAACTTATGAAGCAGGATGCGCCACCTCTTGTCTCGACGAGGGAGACTGTCGAACTATAAATATACAGGTCAGTCAATGTCTCCAAATATTTCTTCAGCCGAATCCTCTTAGCTGCCATTATTTCTGAAGTACCGGCTTCGCTGCTATAGATTCTTCGATAATTTTTCTGCCATTATTTGATCAAATTGTGGAAAAATGCACACAGAGAGAGATAGAGAGAGAATGAAGGAGGGGTTTTCTTGAGATTGAATACAAATAAATTTGTACATTCTTTATCAGTCAATAAAATCCATTTTATGTTATCCCTTTTGTTCTGTTATGCTTCTACACAATGGAAAATCGAAATCGCACAAAAAGTCTCGATTTTTAGTTGCTCCATATATCTTCTTGACATAGAAAAATATGGTCCATTGTTGAGAAATCTCATTCATTTATTAGAGCATCACTTCAGCTAAATTGTCCATTGAACTTTAACTTAGGCCAGTTGATGGATCGATATATCTGTGCATAGTTGTGTATAGTACACATACTTTTTGGGGGATAAAATTGTAATTGTCGAAGAAATCTAAGGCCGTGTTTGTTTGATGGTTTTATTGTGAGTAGAAATTCTTTATATACTCTCTTTAGTCCACAAGCAAAGCAAAGAATAAGATGTTTTCCCTTATGTTACAAAATCCCGGAACTGAAGTAAGAACAAACATAGTTGTGATCATTTAAGCAAAGCTAATTAGACGAATACATATATGTATGTATATGTATATGTATATATTCTTGTCCTGTTCATAACAAGAGCAGAATCTCCATTGGAGAAAAAACTCGGAAATGGATGATAACCCTGTAGAAGACTATAGAAAGGACATTATGAACTTGGAGCATTTGGTTCCTTCTTCGTGGTGGGTTCCCGACAGTGATCCGTATTGCTTGGCTATACATCTTCCAGGTACACTTTCGTATTTAAAATACTCGGATATATGTTTTTCTCGTATCGTTTGTTGCACCTTTTTTATCATTTTGGTCCTTTAATTGTGGGATTGCATAGAAATAGTCTTATATTTAATCAACTATCGTTGAAAAGGTTTTCTGCAATCGGAATATTGTCAGGTGTGCTGACATGAATTAGTCGGAAATATAATATTTATATATTTCATTTAAAAAGAAATTTCTACATTAGAAATTGAAAATGATAAGGAATGCCACATACGAGACTGAAAAAACATATATCCCTTAGAATATTTTACCGAACATGATAATGTCTAAAGAACTTATATAATTGTCTGATTTAACTATGTCTTTTTTAAGGGTTTGAGAACTACGATGTAAGGATAAAAGACGGCGGCGACGGCCATATCATAGTAAGTGGAAATAAGGAGGACACGACCAGTGCTACCTTGATCTGTTTCGAGCAATCTTTTAAGATACCCGAGGATTCGAACATAGAGGAAGCCAGTGGAACCTTTGAGGACGACGATGTCTTTTACATAACCATTCCTAAAAAGTTACTACCAGGAAAAGAAGATTGTCATAATTCAGGCGACGAGCGATGTGAACGTCAGAATAGCAGTCAAGAAATCGAAAGATTGTCCAAAAAAGAGGAAGAAGAGGGCAATGTAGTGAAGAAAATGCTGCGGCTGGTAATGAAAAACCGAACCACAGTTCTTACTGGCGTTGTCGCATTCTGGCTAGGATTTTTCGTGTCTTCTCATTACAAGAACGACAGAAAAGGTGAAAGCAAGACGTCTCGACCGAGAATCTCTGTAAAGATCGAGCATCAGCACAACGACGACTTTTCATCCTAAGAGGATCAGATTCTGAAGTTAAATTCAATCCACTCGGAAAGAAGAAGAACCTTATCCAGTTTTATGTAACATTGTTCAGACAAATTATCGAGCTGACAAAAAGCCCGGCGGAGCGCAGTTTCGACAGAGTCGATAAAGAAGATGCCTTTGTGCAAGGAATGGTTATCTTTATGGAAAAAAAATTGGAGGAAAGTTTTGGCAAAAAGGAGAAAGGAATCGTGTGCTTGTAAGATCAATCTGGAATGGAATTTAAAGGTTCTTGAGAATTTGATGATATGAGAACACTGTAAGAAACAAGCTAACCGGAAAAGAATATATGCTGTGTTCTACTTTTGAGTCGAAAGGAAAGAACAATGTAATGAAAAAAAGCATGGGATATAATTCACACATAATACTAATGGTTAGGGTGCTTATTAATTCTTGTAACCAGTAATATTATACTTTTTCTTTTGTTCCTTACACAATTTATTATTTTATCTAGGTTTACAAATTCAAATAATAGTTTTATTTAAATAAAATATAACGCAATAAATAATAAAAATTCATATATAAACATTTTCTTTATTTATGTCCATAGCTCAGAGTATAACAATACATTCATTGGTTTGAAAGTGACCGGAAGAGCGAGTATGTTTTAGTAACTTCAGAGTTTTTCATTTTTAAAACTCAACTCTCAAAAACGAGAATGTCACATTATTTGATTTACAACGATTTGTCATAACTGTCGAAATTTAAACACATGATTTTACGGTAACAAATTGATCCCGGCACTAAAAGATAATCTTTTACTAAACATATTTTGTTTATCTTAAGTAAATAAGATTTTAGAGTCAAATAAATATATTTCTTTTATCTAAAGCTTTTATATATATATATATATATATTTTAATTTAACATGTCTCAAGACTTCGACATTTTTTCTATTTTGCACACCCATAAATAAATAAATAAATATAGGCAAAACCTAATAGGGATTGGCTCAAGTGAAAAAAGTGGAAGATAGAGAGACAGATAGATACAGAAATAGAATATGAAAAGCGAGAAAACTTCATCTGAGAGACTCGAATCCAATCTCCACCTCTCTCTCTCCTCCATCTCTCCCTCCCTTTCTCTCTCTACAATTCACCAGACAGACATCCTGCACCTCCTGCTCTGCTCACATTCCCATCCCCATTCCCCACCACCACCAAAAACCCCCCAAACCAATTCCACATGAAAACCTAAATCATGTCGCCGGAAAATCCGCCGCCGCCGCAACCTCCGCCGCCGAACACCGTCAGGAAGCTTATCGTCGAAGTGATTGAGGCGAGGGAGCTCCTCCCCAAAGACGGCCAGGGCAGCTCCAGCCCCTACGTCGTGGCGGATTTCGACGGCCAGAAGCGGCGGACGTCCACCGTGCCGAGGAATCTGAATCCTGTCTGGAATGAGCCTCTCGAATTCGTCGTCTCCGATCCGAAGACGATGGAGTTCGAAGAGCTCAACGTCGAGGTCTACAACGATAAGAAGATGAGCAACGGTAACGCCAGGAAGAATCACTTCCTCGGCAGAGTTAAGCTCTACGGATCGCAGTTCGTCCGCCGTGGGGAAGAAGGTTTGGTTTATTTCAATTTGGAGAAGAAGAGCGTCTTCAGTTGGATTCGAGGAGATTTGGGGATGAAAATCTATTACTACGATGAAATCCTCGAGGAACCGCCTCCGCCGCCGCAGGCGGCGGAGCAACCGCCGCAGGAAGGAGGAGGAGGAGGAGAGGAAGCTATGAAGAAACCGGTTATGGCGGTTATGGAGGAACCTCCCCCTACAATGCCTATGCCTATGCCGGAGATGGTTAGAGGAGTCGTCCACGAGCCTCCTCCGGCTGAAAATCCGCTGCCGATGGAGAATCCTCCGCCGCCGGAATTCTCGCCGGATTTGAGGAGGATGCAGAGCGTGCCTGGACCGGCGATTGTTGGAGAGAGAGTGAAGGTTATGAGACGACCGGCGGCGAACGGAGACTACTCGCCGCGAGTTATTCCCGGAAAATTCGCCGGAGATTTGCCGGAGAAGATTCCGGCGTTCGATTTGGTTGAGCCGATGCAGTATTTGTTCGTTAGAATCGTTAAAGCTCGGGGACTTTCTCCGAGCGAGCATCCACATGTGAGAGTCCGTACTTCCGGCGACTCTGTTTTGACGAAGCCGGCGGTCATTCCTCCGGCGACCGATCCGGCGAATCCGGAGTGGAATCAGGTCTTTGCGTTAGGGTACAGTAAGGAAACCTCCGCTAATTCGACTCTCGAAATCTCCGTTTGGGACAGCTCGTCGGAGAGATCGTCGGAGAGATTCCTCGGCGGCGTCTGCTTCGACCTCTCCGACGTGCCGGTGCGCGACCCGCCGGACAGTCCTCTGGCTCCTCAATGGTACTGTTTTATGATTAAAAATAAAATTATTAAAAATTAATAATAAATAAATATATATACATTTTTTATAATATGTAACAGGTATCATTTGGAAGGCGGAGCCGCCGACCAGAACCGAATCTCCGGCGACCTCCAGCTGTCAGTCTGGATCGGCACGCAGGCCGACGACGCCTTCCCCGAATCGTGGAGCGCCGACGCGCCGCAGCCGTTCGTGTCCTACACGCGCCCCAAGGTGTACCAATCGCCTAAACTGTGGTACCTAAGAGTAACCGTCATCGAAGCGCAGGACCTCCACATAATCCCCAATCTGCCGCCGCTGACGGCGCCGGAGATTCGCATCAAAGCTCAGCTCGGCTTCCAGTCGGTCCGGACTCGGCGCGGCTCCATGAGCCACCACACCTCCGCCTTCCACTGGAACGAAGACCTCATTTTCGTCGCCGGCGAGCCGCTCGAAGACAGCTTGATTCTCCTCGTCGAGGATCGCACCGGAAAAGATACCCTCCTCCTCGGCCACGTCCTCATCCCCGTCGGCTCTGTTGAGCAACGAATCGACGAGCGCCACGTGGCAGCCAAATGGTACAATCTGGAAGGCGGCGCCAGCGACGCCGGCGGTTCCTACACCGGCCGTCTCCATTTACGCATGTGCTTGGAAGGAGGCTATCACGTGCTTGACGAGGCGGCGCATCTGTGCAGCGATTTCCGGCCAACGGCAAAGCAGCTATGGAAGCCGGCCGTCGGCATTCTCGAGCTCGGCATTCTCGGCGCGCGCGGATTGCTGCCGATGAAATCGAAGGGCAACGGGAAGGGCTCGACGGACGCGTACTGCGTCGCGAAGTACGGCAAGAAATGGGTTCGGACGCGGACGGTGACCGACAGCTTCGACCCGAGATGGAACGAGCAGTACACGTGGCAAGTCTACGATCCCTGCACGGTCCTGACCGTCGGCGTCTTCGACAACTGGCGGATGTTCGCCGACCCAGCGGCAGCGGACGACAAGCCGGACTGCCGGATCGGCAAAGTCCGGATCCGCGTCTCGACGCTTGAGAGCAACAAAGTGTACATGAACTCGTACCCGCTGACGGTTCTCCTCCGGGGCGGCCTGAAAAAAATGGGCGAGATCGAGCTCGCTGTCAGGTTCGCCTGCCCGTCGCTGCTGCCCGACACCTGCGGTGTGTATGGGCAGCCGTTGCTGCCGCGGATGCACTACCTCCGCCCCCTTGGGGTGGCGCAGCAGGAGGCGCTGCGGGGGGCCGCCACGAAAATGGTGGCGGCGTGGCTGGCGCGGTCGGAGCCGCCGCTCGGCCCCGAAGTCGTCCGGTACATGCTCGACGCGGACTCGAATATTTGGAGTATGCGCAAGAGCAAGGCGAATTGGTTCCGTATCGTCGCCGTGCTCGCCTGGGCTGTCGGATTGGCGAAATGGCTCGACCACATCCGACGGTGGAGGAACCCCGTCACGACGGTATTAGTTCATGTGTTATATTTAGTCCTCGTATGGTACCCCGATTTGATCGTGCCAACCGGGTTCTTATACGTCGTTTTAATCGGCGTATGGTATTATCGGTTCCGACCAAAGATTCCCGCGGGGATGGACGTGAAGCTGTCGCAAGTCGACAGCGTCGACCCCGATGAGTTGGACGAGGAATTCGACACGTTCCCGAGCTCGCGCCCGCCGGACGTGATCCGGGTTCGATACGATCGGCTGAGAATATTGGCGGCGCGGGTGCAGACGGTGTTGGGCGACTTTGCGACACAGGGGGAGCGGATACAGGCGTTGGTGAGCTGGCGGGATCCGAGGGCGACGAAATTGTTCATCGGGGTGTGTCTCATTATTACGATCGTTTTGTACGTTGTGCCGCCGAAAATGGTGGCGGTGGCGCTCGGATTCTACTTTCTCCGGCACCCGATGTTCCGGGATCCGATGCCGGCGACGGGGCTGAGCTTTTTCCGGCGGCTGCCGGGGCTGTCGGATAGGCTGATTTAATAATTAAGGTAAGAATATGGGTAGTGTACGTACGGACGTAGGTAGTAAGGAGAATTGGGAATGTGTGAAAAAGGATGTTAGAATATTGGAAATGTGGGGATTGATTGGAAGAAATTGTGGCTTTTTGGGGGGGTTTTGACTAAATTGGGGGAAAATTTGTAGTGTAATTTTGTTGTCTGGGAAAAGTATAGACAGCATAAATTGATTTTTTGGGGGAGCATTGGAATACGTGACATGAATTATTATAATAATATTATTATTATATTATTATTTTTTTTTATAAAGTGAGAATTTGTAGTTAAAATGCGTACATGTAAATTTCTGATTGAATTTAATATCTTCAACAAGATAAATCACACTAGATAAACCGTAAACCGAGACAGATGAGCCGAGAAGTCGGAGTTTATTATTATTACTATTATTATTATGGGGGGCATAAACCGTAAACCGAGACAGATGAGCCGAGAAGTCGGAGTTTATTATTATTACTACTATTATTATTATTATGGGGGGCATGCAATGCAAATGCAATAATGGGCTATTATAAGGTTTGAAAGAAGTGGTGTATTCTTGGACTTTTTGTTGTAGGGTTGTCTTGAATTATGTGTCATGCCATGCCACCATTGCCATTGCATGTGCTTTTTTGGGATTTCAGCCAGGTGTGGATAGTTAATGCTACATTTATATATATAAATATATATATATTTATAAAAATATAGTCGGAGTGTATACCATATTTTTATATTTTTATCTTTTGATTTTATATATTTATAAAAATATAGTCCGATATTTTGATATTTTGATATTTTGATATTTTTATTTTTTGATTTTATGTATAAAATAATTATATATAATGATATATTTATAATTTAAATAAAAATTAAAATATTTTAATAGTATTACTGTATAATTATTTTTTTAGAAATAAAATAAAAAAAATTGAAATAGAATAAACAAAAAATATTAAAAATAATACTTTGAAATAAGATGAAAAAAATTGATTTTTTTTTTATAAAAAAATGCAGATATTATGCTTATCCGATCAAGTCAACATGTGATTCATGCCGTTTATAAAAAAAAAAAAAGATTATTTCAAATAGTTTTTATCATCTAAATTAATAATCATATTTATTTTTAGAAATATTATCATTTTTAAGTAAGAATATTTTTTTTCATATGTTTCGTAGCGTATATCTAATAAGGCATCCGCAACGGGGGCGCTTCCTCCTAAGCGCCCCCCACGTCATCCAATTTCATAACATAAATAAATAAAAAAATGCTTTGTCAGGGAGAAACGAACCCTGCCACACCACCGTTTCTTATTTATTTTATGTGGGCCATCCTTATTTTTTTTATTTAATTAATATAAAAAATCTATTAATAATATATAATATATCATATTTTATGTTTTAAAATTTGTTTTATTAAAATATTAGATTTAAATTTTATTATATGAGTTTTATTTAATATTTATTTTTTTATTAAAATAATATTGTTAATAACTATAATTTTTAATATAATATTTTTATATTTTATGTAACTTTTTAATGCATATTTTTGTAAAATATTTAATTAAATATCTATTAATTCAATTATAACATTTGTTTAATTAAAATTACATGCAATACAAATAATAAATAAAAATACATAAAAATATTCATAAATTTAAAATTAAATTTACATGACTTAATTAAATTATACACACTACAAATATTAATTGAAAATACATAAAAATATTCATAAATTTAAATGCAAACCTACACAACTTAATTAAAATTACAGACAATACATATAATAATTAAAAATACATGAAATAAATACCAATAAATTTAAATGAAAACTTACGGAAAACATTCGCGTGCCAACCTTTGTTTCAACTGTTCTTCAAATTCCGTCAGATTATCCCCTTTGGCCATTATCATCATGAGCATTTCCATCTTCGTCTTAGCAAGTTCTAACTGTTTAGCTTCCCGATCAAATTTTCTTGCCGTTTTTTCTATCCTTTTAGCTTTCAAAAGTGCTTCTATTTTTTCGGGTTGTTGCTTCAATCTTTACTCCTTGACTGCTGCCATATGTTCCATACTTGAGCTAAATTCACTGCTTTTTTCGTAAAATTTTTCATAATTTTCAGTAGGACTTGAATTGAATGTCTCGTTTTGCACCTGTTTCCCCCTCTTCTTACTTGCTTTAATACCAGGGGGACGAGTAGGAGGAGTTGGGTCATCCACATCAAAGTATGGTGTCGCCGGACACGAACCTGAGTATCCACCGTCTTCACTCGTTTTTGTTCGCTTTGAACTTCCACCACTGTTATGAGATGATTCGCAGTAACTGGCCTTCCATTTAGGCTCATTTCTGAGTATACGCCAAGCATCTTCATGGACGAAGTCTTTGCTCTCACCGTCATTTGAGTATATTTTCTTTGCTGCATTGAGGACATCCGTGCTTGATTGTCCACTGCGCATGTTTCGATTGGCCTCCTCATAACACCCAACAAATTTTTGCACTGACTTACATATTTTACTCCAACGATTTTTACATTGAGTAACACCTCTGCTCGTTGCACTTTCGGGCTTGTTCTCCATATAGTACGTTGCAATTCTTTTCCAGAAAGCACTACTTGGTTGGTCAGTGTTGGTTACGGCATCCTTACTTGTGTTCAGCCATGCACTGATTAGAAGTTCGTCTTCATTCCAGCTCCACACCTTCCTCGTATCTTTATTTTTTGAATTGTGAGGCACATCATCATCTGCTAAATTGATAGGTGTGCAATGTTGTGGGGTGCCCACTGCTTCATTCGCTTGCATCATGAATTGAGGAGATGATGAACTTCCGAACGCTTGAAAGTTTGGAGGAATTTGATAATATGGTGAAGGATTGAATGGTTGAAATGGGACATTAGATGTAGGGAATATGGGTTGATTTCCTAACATGTTCATAAAACTTGGAAATCGAAAAGAATTTTAGGGATCTTGAGAGTTGGATGAATTTTGAGAGTTGGGATCCATTCGTAGGAAATTTAGAAGATAATATAGAGAGAAGAAAATGAAGAGAGAAGATTATAAAGAGATGGTGTAGATGATATGAAGTGAGAATGTAGTGTATTTATAGTAAATATTGCAACGGTTATATTCCCAACGGCTATATTCCCCAACGGCTATATTCCCAACGGCTATATTCCCAACGGCTATATTCCCCAACGGCCATATTCCCAACGGCTATATTCCCCAACGGCTATATTTCCAACGGCTATATTCCCAACGGCTAGTTTCTAATTTATATATATGTAACCAATTCACATGCACACAATTCATATGCACAATAGTTCAACCTTTCATATCTTATTTTCTCTCAAAACAATGTCAATTTCATCCTTATCTCTGTCCGATTCATCCGAAGAAGAGTTGGAAAATATATGTCAATTGGCAGAAACATATGCTCAATTGTATCAAAAAATTGAGCATATCAACAATGAAGATGAGGGAAGCTCACGGCAACGTCGACGGAGAACATACATAGAGAGGAATCGTGAAGATGGTCATACTCGATTATTCAATGATTATTTTTCTGATAACCCCGTGTATCCAAGTTCTTATTTTCGTCGTAGGTTTCGAATGAGAAAACATGTCTTTCTTCGTATAGTAGATCGCCTCTCCAATGAAATGGAGTTCTTTCAGCAACGGCGTGATGCTACAGGAAGAGATGGATTGTCAGCATTACAAAAATGCACAGCAGCAATACGTGTATTGGCATACGGCACAGCTACTGACACTGTTGACGAATATCTTCGTCTTGGAGAGAGCACCACAAGGGCATGTTTGAAGCAATTTGTTGAAGGGATATGTTCTCTATTTGGTGAGGAATACCTATGACGACCAAATTCTACTGATGTACAACGATTATTATTTGTTGCAGAGACACGTGGTTTTCCAGGCATGCTAGGAAGTATTGATTGTATGCACTGGGAATGGAAAAATTGTCCGGCTGCTTGGAAAGGCCAATTTGAACGTGGAGATCATGGCAAACCTACAGTTATATTGGAAGCTGTAGCCTCATACGATCTATGGATTTGGCATGCATTTTTTGGCACACCAGGTACATGCAATGACATTAATGTACTTGATCGATCTCCGGTATTTAACGACGTTTTGAATGGCAGAGCTCCAGAGGTTAATTTTGTTATCAACAACCATCAATATAATATGGGATATTATCTTACTGATGGAATTTACCCTACGTGGGCAACCTTTGTTCAATCGATTCGTCTCCCTCAAGGTTATAAAGCACAATTATTTGCGCAACATCAAGAAGCGGTTCGAAAAGATGTGGAACGTGCTTTTGGTGTATTACAAGCTCGGTTTGCCTTCATTAAAACTCCATCACTTATTTGGGATATTAATTTACTAGGTAAAATAATGAGAGCATGCATCATATTACATAATATGATTGTAGAAGATGAAAGGGACACTTATGTGCATTATTACGATACATCTCAATATGATCAAGTGGAGACAAATGATAACTCGAATTGGTCATACAACAATACGAGACATGCAACTATGGATCAATACCTACGGAACAGAATGCGACTCCGAGCTAGAGAAACACACCACCAGCTCAAAGCGGATTTAGTTGAACACATTTGGGAGAAATTTGGTCAATCGACTAATTAATTTATTTGAAAAATATATTGTAATATTATGTATTTTTTATTAAATTTAAGTTTGAATTTTTAATTAGTATGTGGGTGTGGAATTATTATTTTTATTTATTTTATTTATTTATGCTAAATAATTATTTTATTTTAATTAAATATTATAAGAATAAAATATAATGGAAAAATATAAGTTTATTTTATAAATAGATAAAATATTTAATGAGGTGGAAAAAGTAAAGATTTTAAAGGGTTCTTTAATGTGAATGTAAAATATAGTTGGAGTTCTTCGTGACGTGGCGGAGAGAGAAACTGACGTGGCACAGGAGAGAGAATGGGAAGAAACCCTGGATGGATTTCTGTGTTGTGGATGGCCTAAATAGACATGCTCCGACTTGTCAGGCTGATGTCACGTGCTCATTTTCCACGTGGAAAAATCAATTATGCAAAAATATTACTTACATAAATTTCAGTCCCTTAACTAAAATAATAATATATGTTAGTCACCAAACTAAGAAAATAATTTTTCAAAATTTAAATGTTTGTATTGTAAATTATGAAATACTCCCTCTCTGTATGTTCCATAATTATATATTTATTTACTTTTTGTACGAAATTTTAAAAATATTAGTATTATATTGAAATACAGTAGAAATAAAGTATAAATAACTAAAATGACTGAAATGATCTTATTAGTATTATGTGATATAAAAGTAATAGTATTTGTATAATATATTAGAAGTTGTAAGGATATAGTATTTGTATTTATAATATATATAAAAGTAAATAGTACATATACTTAAAAAAAAAAAATGAATATTTTATTATGGAATATACCAAAATAAAAAAATAAATACTTTTGTTACGAAATGGAGGAAGTATATACTTACACAACCCAAATATTTGAGTATTTTTTATTATAACTATTACTCTCTAAATTTAGAGATTGTGGACATCATGATGTTCTGTTCCTCTTGCCTATTTTTCAATTATATTTACTACACAATTTCGCCATTTTCAATTTTTAAAAAAATATTCCAAATTTATACACCTCTACTTATTAATAAACAAAAAAAAAAAAAAAATTCATCTAATCCACAATTTTTAATACCTTTATAAATTAATATTATAAAAAATACTAAATATACACATATTATACAATATATATAATATATACTCTAGTTTCAAAATTAACATTCAGTATAAAGTATTATTTTTTTATATTACCCCAATTTTCTATACCTGTAAAAAAATTCTTCTAATCAAAATACTATTAAAAAAAAAAACCTTTATTCCCTAAAAAAATCAATAATTAAAATAAAATATGAATATTTTATATTTAAAAAAAATATACACCCACTATTATTTTTCTTAAAAAAATTTACTATAAAATATATGTCTACATTTGGGTAACAAAGGGAATTTGGGATTGGGAAAAGTTTGCATAATTTAAGGAGAAGAGAATGGAATTTTAAAATTTTAGAACATTATTTTGTATTTTAATTTAAATTTTCCTAATCTGAATTTTAATTTAAATATTATTTTATGAGATTTTTTATTTATTTTATTATTAAAAATTACAACTTGTTCCCCATTCATTCATTACTTTGTGGTTCAATGTTGTCCACTATGAGGTTGTTATTCACTAATTTCCATATAATGACATAATTATTAAATCATTATTCGAAATAAATAAGTCATATGCAGGTCTCGTTTTTATATGACAATTAGAATCATATGTAAAAGAACAAAAATAAAAAACTACAACCCACAAATAATGTGTTTTTTTGTTGTCCATTTTTTTTTTCAAATTTTACTATCTGAATTATATTTTTTTTTTCACAAAATATATTGTAAATTATTTTTTAATAGTCTCTCTGTCTCATAAGTAAATATTCATTTGTTTTTTTGCGTAGTTTTAGAAATATTAGTATTATATTGGGATATAGTAGGAATAAAGTAGAAATGATTAAAATAACTTTATTAGTATATGTGATATAAAGGTAATGACATTTGTGTAATATATTGTAAGTTGTAAGAGTATTTGTAATGTTAGGTAGATAGTACAGTTACTAAAAAAGAAAATTGATACTTTGTTATGAGACGGACTAAAATAAAAAAATGGATACTTTGTTATGAGACGGAGAGTGTATTAAATTTAAATCAATTTTTCCCTAATTTACCCGAAAGTAACCGCCCGCTTGTTCATTTATTTGACTTTTTTTTAATAAAATATTTTTTTATACTCCCTCCGTCTCATAACAAAGTATCCATTTTTTCATTTTAGTCCGTCCCATAACAAAGTATCCATTTTTTTTTTAGTAATTGTACTATCTACCTAACATTACAAATACCCTTACAACTTACAATATATTACACAAATGTTATTATCTTTATATCACACGTACTAACAAAGTTATTTTAGTCATTTCTACTTTATTCCTACTATATTCCAATATAATACTAATATTTTTAAAATTACGTGCAAAAAGCAAATAAATGCACGAAGGGAGTATATTTATTTTAGAAATACCATTCAATAACTATTAAAGTCAAAATATAAAATCAAAGACGAGTGTTTTTGTAGTTTGGTTTTAGTTTCTCTACAGTTCATTAATTGCAAATTTTCATTAAAAATATATATTTTTTCTAAAATATCATATTTAAATTATTATTCAAATTAAAAAAAACACCTTATATTTGTATTTTATATAATAGTTTACATGATATTTTATAAAGATAAATAATGTATTTTTTTTCTTTTTTTTAGTGTGTTATTTGCATGTGAACGTTAAAATAACATATCGAAACACAACCTATATGCGTGTGTGTGTATATATATATATTTTTTAAGTAAAATAATTACTCCCTCCCTAAATCCTAGACACTGTATTTTAGGAGGGGTGTAATTAGTAGATAATTAAGAATATATTAGTAAAAATAATTATTCTATAATATAAATAATTATAAATTAAGATTAAGATAACTAATTAGTTTAATTAAAATTTTAAAAAAAAATCAAAAATTTAAAATGAGATTAAAGTGTATAATCATTTTCCAAAAATGGAAAGTGACATGGTATGTGGGACGGACAGAAACGGCAATGTAGACATGGTATTTGAGACGGAGGGAGTACTAGATATCTTAAAATTAATTTTTTATTTTTTTTTATCTCTATTTTGGAATGTTCCATTATAACGGGCCAAAAAAAAAGTTCACTTCAATGTAATGGGCCAATAAATTGGCTCAAGAATAACGAAGGAAGATTCCATTTGGGATAAATATAAGAATTCAACCATGACCTACAATTAATCAGACAGAAATTTAATCGTTAGACTACTTTATTACTTTTTATACATATTTAGTAATTAATATATTTATAAAAAAAAATTATTTGAAAATTTATTTATGAAAGTATATTTATTTGAAAATTTCTTTAATATTACTAAAACAGGCCAGGCTAAACCGACCTTAAACACGAAATTTAAAGAATATTAATATTATATTGGTGGTCGGTAAAAAGTATGAATAAATGACTTTTTTGTTCTTATAAGTATATCAGTGAAAAAAAATAGTGGTAATTGTATAATAATAATAAAAAAAATAGAGATAATTTTACGGTGATATAATTATTTATAAAAATAAGACTATTATTTAATAACATACAAAAATGATAAACAAAACTATTGTATTGAGACGAAAAAAAAAAAAAAAATTTATATCAAATTCAAATTGAATTTACGAATCATATTTATTTTTGTCAACTCTAAATTTTATAATAATTAAATAAAACATACTCAGAAAAAAGTAAAAACACGTACACGTGCGCACAAAAAGAGCAGCAACGAAGTATATATACAAGAAATATCGAACAAATTCACATCCTTAGTGAACTCGCCAAACAATCGTTAGCTCGTCCCAAAAATTGTTCGCGCCAGCCCGTCGGGGCGAGTCGCCGAACAATACAACATTTATATCCGTCCCATCTTCCTTGGACAAACACATAATAACGCGCCAAAAAAAAAAAAAAACCCGATCCCTAACTCTTGTCCGAATGCGACTCGTATATCTCGCTAAGGCACGGCGACATGACCTCTTGCTCCAAGAACTGCAAAACTTGCTGCATCGAGGGTCGCTCGTCGGGGTTCCCGTCCGTGCACCGCCCCGCTATCTCGACCAACACTTCCACCGTCTCCGGCTCAGCATCCGGACATCGTTTGTCGACCACATCCTCCAATCGATTCTCTTTCAAATGTATGTTTATCTGCGATATAAACATGTGATTAAGATGAAAAAATTAAATAAAAATAATAATACTCCCTCCGTCAGCTTCTAAAAATCACATTTACTTTTTTTACATCATTGCGTATAATATTAAAAATATCTTTATATTTGTATAATTTTTTGTACAAATGTCTTTCTACTAGTATTACAAAATACCAATGAAAATATTTTGCAATTTTTTCTTAATTTGTATTACATTTTGATATAATAATTAATATTCAAAAATCAAATTCAAAGATCAACACGTAAAAAATAAACGAGACCCTTAAGGCCAGTCGGAGATAGTAATACTGCATGTTTGATAAAATTATGTCAAATTTTTTTATTGTCCACGAAACTTTATCCAGTATTATCTACTAGGGGTGGACACGGTTCGAGTATTTGCAAATATACAAGTATTTGGTATTCGAATCAAGTCGAACCAATCAAGTCGAACCAAACAAATACCTGAAACCGCAAATCGTATCCGAATCTAAAATTTCGATTAACTGAGAATAATTACCAATAATTCGAACCGAAGCGAAATTAAGAAAAATTATATTAAAAAATAATTAAAATTCTAAATAAATAAAAATATTTGCCCACCCTTATTATCTACTCTGTTTTTTATCAACTCCTCAATAAATATCTTATAAGAAATTTATTATGCTTTTTACTTAAACATAATTTACGGACGGAGGGAGCATTTCGTAACGTTTTAGATACAAGACAACTTAAAACAATTACTGAAAAACAAGAATAACTTAAAACAATCGTACGTACCCATCCGACGACGTTTAATCCTCTCTTCACAAACGACGGATCCGTCGGTCGCTTTCCCGTCACAAGTTCGAGCAACAGGACACCGAAGCTGTAGACGTCGGACTTCTCGGTGGCCCTACCGCTCTGCAAATACTCTGTTCAGAAATTGGAGAAATATTATTGTCAAATAAATCTCAAGACAAAGAAAATAATATCGAATTAAAAGTATAGGCGCAAAACCGAACCTGGAGCAAGATACCCGAATGTTCCGGCGACCACAGTCGTGACATGAGCTTCCTCGTCAACCAATAGCTTAGCGAGGCCGAAATCAGAGACATGAGGATCGAGATTCTCATCTAATAGAATGTTGCTCGATTTTATATCGCGGTGAATTATTTTCGGAGAACAATCGTGGTGTAAATACGCCAATCCCCTCGCCGAACCGATGGCTACTCTCAATCGGGCACTCCAATTCAACGCACGATCTTCGGAATTATCGTCTGTATCTTGAAGATACGAACATTTTAGCAACCTCAAAACTAAAGCTGGCAAAAACTGACCCGACATGACAACCCAATACGAAATAATTGAGTATAAGTCAATTATTTCAACCCAACTATGTATACAGGTCGACACGAACCCGATTATAATATATTAATATTAATTAATATATTTATTATATATGTAAAATAATTATAATATAATAATTTGTTCATATCAATTTAAACTAAATTCAATTTTAAATAATTTAATCTAATTCATCGTACACGTTACGCTCGAAGCAATAAAACTAACATAACACAACCAAATATAATTTAATTTGTATAAAAAAATTTGACTTAATAATGTATACAAGTCAACACGAGACACGATAATAAACGGATAAACACGAATCCGATACGATAATAAGCGGGTCAGGTTATGGTTGAATAATTTAACCCATTTAAAGTATTCAACCCGACATGAATCGACCAATTGCCAACTCTACTCAAAGCAATAACGCGATAATGACTCTAAACTGGTTCAAATAAGCACGTACCGTGTAAGAAATAGTCCAAGCTACCCATTGCCAAGTAGTCGTAGATAAGAAGCTTCGCTGTTGGTAGTCGACAATAACCTCGTAGATTTACGAGGTTTATGTGCTTTATACTGCCCAAAATTTCGAGTTCCCTCTCGAAAACTTGGTCCGAGCCTTCTCTTGTCCGATCGATTTTTTTTACTGCAAATGTCCCACAATCGTTCATAACCATTCGATACACAGTACCATACCCTCCGGCCCCTACGACATCCTCGTCGTCAAGAGACTCGATTTTTTCAACGAGCTCGCAAGACGTGTACGGGAGGTCGCCGTGGAAAGTTATAAGCTTGGCCCCTACAAGAACAAAGCGAACATCAACGATTACAAAATGCACGAAACGAACAAGTGTTCGAAAAGGTAATGTTTTTACATACGCGGTTCTTGATGGACTTGTTTCTTCACTTCCGTGTATCTTCTAACGGCTCGTTCCTTCTTCGTCAGCATCCAGATCGAAAGGAACACGGCGAGGAAAATTATCGCAAACCCAAACATGGATACCGCGCCGATTATCACTCCTTTGACGTAATGTGAAGATCGCTTTCGCGGGATCGTAGAATCTGAAAAATTTAAAAATTGATCAAATGCGAATCGAATGTAAAATAACGACGATATTGCGATCACTTAATACGATACCCGTTGCCTCGTCGCTTTCGGCGTGCGGTAGCACGGCGGGAAAGCCAAGCGAGGTTCGGCATGGTTTGTTCACTTGTTGACCACAAAGATCCAAATTTCCCGTAAACCTAGACGTAAACATCGAGCTTCAATGCAACATCGACAACAAAATTCCATAACTCTGTAATAATTAAGGCGCGGTAAGGAAACTCACGACGTGTTCCTAAACTTGCTGAGCACGCCAACATCAGGGATTTCGCCAGACAAGAAGTTCGTCGACAAATTTCTAAAACAATCACACTTACGAGCAAAATCAAGCATCCCGAAATTACATACTCGCAAGTAATGCTAACTAATTCTCACCGTACTTACAAATACGCTAGTCGTGTTAACCGGCCAAGAGAAGACGGGATAGCACCTTTCAATGTATTGCTTGATAAATCCCTACGTCGCAACAATAGACATCAATCACACATTCTAGACGACAAAATTACACACATGCGACATATGTATACTCCCTTCGTCCCAAAACATTTCGGGTGTATTTATTTTGTGAAATAATTTTCTATGTTAGATGTAGGAAATTGTGTAAATATATAAAAATAATGTGTTATTTATTAATTTTTTGGGAAAACGTATAGGAGAAAAAAACTAAAAGAACACACCATTCCTATTTTACTATTTTAAATACAATTTATAAAAAATCATTTCAAACAAAAATAACGACGAATAGGCAAAAATACTATCAAAATTACACTACCTAAAAAATTGCGCAAAAGTTAAAACATGAAGAAGGAACAAGACGGAGAACAAGTTAACTTACAATATAGATAACAAAGGTACATTTCCAATCGAAGACGGTACCCCTCCTTGAAAGTAGCAAGATTTTCTCTTTTACCATTTTAAATACAAGTTATAAAATCATTTCAAACAGAAAGTAACCGTGAAACGGTAAAAACACTATTGAAATATCACACTACCTAAAAATTGGCGCCAAAACCAAAACATGAATTAACGAGACGAGCACAACAACTTACAATATAGTTAGCAAAGAAAGGTTTCCAATCGAAGACGGTATCCCTCCTTGAAAGTAGTTCGCTCGAAGGTACCTACACTCACAATTCATCAATTAAAATTCAAAAAATCGACACCTAACTAATCAAACCTCCTTAAAATGGCTATGCAACTTACAAAGCTCGTAGTTGGGAACACTTTGCAATCTCATTAGGAATGAAACCATGGAGACTATTTTGATGAAGTGCCCTAAAAATTTCACAACAAAGGTTAAAAGAAAAAAAAAAAAAAAAAAAAACCACCAAAAATTTCAGGAATCGGGATTTAGTTAATTAAAACTTACAATCTCTGCAATCGACCAAGCTTACTAATGCTCGGGGAAATCACACCTCCGAGCTGCATATATGGCAAGTTGCTAAAAACACAAAACACCAAACAAGAATCTATTAGCAAAACAAAAGTAAATGTGTGTTAGGCTATAAGTTGAATTGAAGTCGGCACTATGCTCTCAATTTTTTTTCAGCATATATGTGTTTACACAAACACTTTTTGGGTGTGTTTGTTTGGTGGTTTGGATTTTGAATAGTTCTAAGATGTGATAGATAGGTACTAATGTGTTGTTTTGAATATAAAATTGATTTTTAGTATAAGATAGCAAATAAAAAATAAGTGTTTGATTTGATTTGTTTAGAAAAAATTTTTATCAGTGAATAGTAAAATCCGGAGCAAAATCCTCCTTAAGAACCCACCCTTTCACAGTTCTTGGCACTATCGATCAATGATAACTTATTTCAAAATGATCGGATCAAATACATATTTTATTTCACAGAACATCATATAAACTATTAACTTTTTTACTATTCCCAAAATTTTCAAAACTCCAAATGTAGTCTCTGTCTAAACCTAACATCATGGGAACTCACTAAATTTTTTTTATTTCTATTTCATTTCACAATAAACAAATATATTTATATGCATTCAAAACTCTTTATTTTTTTTATAAAATTACTTTATGCTGATCATATAAAATTTTATTACCTACATAAAATGATATCTATATTATATATGTATATATATATTTATTGAAATATAATTTAAAAATCCAACCCATTTTATATTTCTTTTAATCATACATAGTATATTAAATCATAAATCAAATAATAATCAAATCAATTCCCTCCGATCTAACATCCAACTCAAACTCGAACCGATAAATAAACACATATAACAGTGAATTAAATCAAGACATACATAGAAATTACTCTGTGGTCTTGAGGGCTACAAGAAATGCCAATCCATTGACATGGAAATTCATCACTGTCTCTCCAGTTACTAAGCAAGTTCTTGCTGTCATTCAAACCCGTCTTCACTTCCAGCAATGCCACACCTAAAATAATGTAAAAAATTTAATTTTGTTTCGAAAATATAAGGGTGTGTTTGATTTGTGAGATAATTTGAATGGATATTATTTTATGTAATTTACTAGGAATTGTGTAAAAAATATAGAAATAATGAATATGTGTGATATATTAATATTTTTTGTTAAAAGAACACACCCTAAATAAAGTCGGCATTGAGTCAACACTACATTTTTCAAAAAAATATTACATTAAGTACTTATTCTTCATTTAAAATATGACATTTAGAAGATAGCTTGATTGCATTTTTCAAACACACTGAGTTAAGTTTTCATTTACAGCAACTTTTATTTTTTCTCTAAAAAAACAATGGTCATCAAAGATAATACTTAATTTTCAAATTTCGATCTAAATAATTTTTCATTCAAAACATTAAATCAAACAATTATGACTATTCTTGAAAACACACTAAATCACAACCAAACAAAATCTTATTATCTACACAAATCATGACAAGCAACACATATTTACCTCTCATCTACATCCTCGTCGAACTAGTATTGTGTTTGGTTTGAATTTTTATTATTCTCAATAAAAAACTTCTAAGCAAAGTTTCAACATAAATACATTATATCCTCCTACATTACATTGTATATCAAATCACTATTATACAAACCCAAAAACTACTGTTACACAAACACAAACACAACCAACAACTACTTTTACTCCATTTTTAACTATTTCAAAATTTATCTAGAACCTCCATTATACTTTCATAACATATTTAAACAAACTTTCATTCTATTGAAGGACAAAATAATGTAATTTTTAAAAAATAAAAATAAAAAAGAAAGCATAAATAACATACCATCTGGAGTGAGAGCAAGAGAGCATTCACAAAAGAAGATACCCAAAAACACAAACCCTAAAATTGCCATTTCCATTTCTTGATTCCAGCTAGCTGTCTTCCAGATTCTTCTCCACTTCAAAAATGTTTTTCTTAGAGAATTTGAAAGAGGAAAGTGGTTTGAAAACCCCCAAAAAAGGGGGGTTTGATTTTGATGATGAAAAAGTTGAAAAGTTTCGAAACAATGGTATAATTGCAAATGTGCTTTTGCTTCAAAAAACCCTAATTATTTTTGCCCACCATTGACACACCTTCCCCAAATTCCCTCCTGTTTTTCTTCCACACCACAACGATAGAATTTTCTGAATCTCTCTTTGTTGAATTGCAGTAAAAGCCTTTCTCTCTCATCTCTCTTGTTTTGTGTTTTTGAAGACTGTATTGATATTTGTGCTGTGAGACAGACATAGCCGTTGTCCAATGGCGTTTTCGAAAAATAAAGGGATGAAGTTTTATGAACAGTTGCAGGGGATCCGCGTGAGATGCACTAGTTCTATCCGACGGTGGATATGAATTTAGGAGCTAAGTAAACAGAAATGATTGGTTCGTGGCTTAACGCGCGCGTGGCATGGGTAATGTCCAAATGCGCACTGCCCGAGTCTGGTGTATTTGCAGGAAATTTGAATATGTTAAAGAAGGATAGATTTGGGTTGAGTATGTGGCGCGTGTACCTCACGCGCGGGCCGAAAAGAGATAGGAATTTCACCGAACACATACACATACGCATCCACCATGATCAAATTTGGACCCAATCCTCGACCGAGACCTTGATCTACAAGGTTTGACAAAGGAGCGTTTAGCTTTATTTACACCGTATATGGTTTTTAAAATTTAAAATTTGAAGCTATTATAAATTTGGTTTTTTTTTTATTTTATACTCCCTCCGTCCAACTAGAAAGTATACATGTTTCTATTTTGGGACGTTCAATTATAAAGTAAACATTCATTAAATACCTTACTTTTTTTCACAAATATCCCTACTTTACATCACATCATTACTTTTACACCAAAAAATAAGGGCAAAAATGTCATTACATTACTTTTAACTACCCACTATAATTAAAATACTATTATTTCTTAAACACCGCGTCAAAAATAATTTTATACTTTTTTTGTGGACGGAGGGAGTATTTAAATTAATATTACTTTCATTTGTCCAATATGTCATGTTATAATTTTTTTTTCGTTTGTTCTATATATTATATTCCATTTGCTTCAAAACTATAGTTTTAATTGGATTGACACGAAATTTAAGGAATATTGATATTATATTAATAGTTGGTAAGAAGTATAGATAAAAGACTTTTTTGTCTTTGTGAGTGTATTAGTGTAAAAAATTGTAGCAATTATGTAATAAAAATGAAAGTAGAGGTAGTTTTATGGTGATATAGTTATTTATGAAAAATAAGACTATTGTTTTGAAACGAACAAAAATGGTAAACAAGACTATAATATTGAGACGGAGGGAGTATTACTTTTTTTCATTTTATATAATTTGTTTTTTCTATTTTTGAAAATATAATTATATATTCTAATCACATTTTAAATTTTATAATTTTTTTAAAATTTTAATATAACTATTTAGTTATATCTTAATTTTAATTTATAATTATTTTTATTATATAACAATGATTTTTATTAATATATTTCTTAATTACTTATTAATTATATTTTACCTAAATTCTCGTATCTACGTTAATATATCCCAGTTACAAATGTCGGAGAGAGTACTTTACATTTTGAAAGAATTATTTTACATTTTAATTATATTTTAAAATTTATAATTTATAATATCTTTTAATTTTTATTAAACTAATTTTTAGCTTCATCTATAATTATTTGTATTATATTCTAATTAATTTTTATCTTAATTTATAATTTTATACACCCTCATTCTCATTTTATTCTAATTTGTCTTCTATTTAAAATTATTAAATTAAAATATGTTTAATAAATATAAATTAATTTAATTATTATAAATTATATAACATTCTTTTGTGTTTTTAGTAAAAATGTACAAAACATCCAATGTTATATTTATTGCATGAAATTCTCCTGTGTTAATGTAAAATTTGCATGAAACACTCTTTTTGTCCAAAATTGATATTTTGTTATAAATAAAGACCTAAATTAGCAAATTTTATATAAAGAAAAAATATAAAATATGTTAAATATTTTTTTGAATAAAATAAATAATTAATTATTCAGTTTATACTTTTTTAAGACAAATTGTTATCTGATTTTTATAAAAATTATAAAAATAAATTATTGATCAATTATTTATTTATTTATTTTATTCAAAAAAATCATTTAAAATATTTTACATTTTTATTTTTATAAAACTTGCATAATTTAAGTCTTTATTTAGAACTGAGCATCAGTTTTGAAGAATTTGGGTGTTTCGTGCAAATTATACATTAACAAAAAGGGGTTTCACGCAATAAGTAAAACACAAGGTATAAGGTATTTTGTACATTTTTAGTAAAACACAAAGGAGTGTTATATAATTTACCCATTTAATTAACTATATAACATATAACATTATAGATCACGTAGAATTCATTCAAAATCTCTATATTTTTATCTCTTCAAATACAAATATTATTATCTATATTTCAAATTTCATATATTTTATAAAATTACTTTATACTATTAATTATAAATAAATAAATGATATTTTTATTTACTAAGAAAAAAATTAAAAAATAATATATTATATATATATATTTTTTGCGATGCTTTTTTTTAAACATTTAAATATATATTCTAAATTTTTTTTTAATTATATATATTAAATTTATTTTAAAACTATTAATATTATAATTATATAAAAATAATATTCATTATATCCCAGCTAATTTATCCAGTTTAGCTGAAAACATAGTTTTAGGTATTGTATAATTAATAAGTAATTTAGAAAATTTATTAGTAAAATTAACATTTGATTGGTTTGAAAATAAAAATGATATGAATTTGATATTAAAATAATGTTTGATGAATGTTTATGGTAAAAATATATTTAAATATTTTATAAATAATAAAATAATACTCTCTCTGTCCCGTAGAAATATTGTTGTTTACTTTTTACACGTAGATTTTTTAATACTAGTATTATATTGGGTTGTAGTGAAAAAAACAAAAATATCCTTACTAGTATTGTGTAATATAAAAGTAATGACATTTGTGTAATATAGTGTAAGTTGGAAGAGTATTTATTATGTTAGATAGGTAGTACAATTACTAAATTAGGAAACAGTAACCTTATTTTAAAACGAACAAAAATAAAAAATTGACAATATTTCAACAAGAGTGAGGGAGTATAACAATTTTCTATAATTAACTAATTAAATAATATTTATTTAAATATTGTATCACTAATCAAATAGTTTAATTATATTGGAATTGAGTGAGTATAAAAATAAATAAATAAATAAACTGTAATAAATTATATTAAAATTTAATTATATAATAATTATTAAAGTTTTTTTATGTAAATTACTAAAAATATATTTTTATAATTTATATGTAATAGTACTCTCTCCGTCGTTCAAATTTATTTTCACTTTTCTTTTTTGTTGTCATCCAAATTTATTCTCGTTTTCTTTAGTAAGAAAATACCATTTTTTCTACCAAAAAAAGTAAAAATTTATAATTTTATATATTTTTCTTAAAATCCGTAACCGATCAAATGAGCACATAATTAGTGGGAGGAGTGAGTATTTAATTAATATAAACTTTAGTTATAATGTTGCACCTAAAATGCTCTCATTCAGACCGTTGGTTCAGGCCAATAGTTTTAAAATTGGTGGTTCATATTTAAGTTGGACTGAATCATTTTATTTGTCCCACATTTGAAATATTATTATTGTGGGTATCTTTACTCTATTATTCAAAAAAAAAAAGAACCACTAGTGCTCTGTTAGTCTAAGTCAATTTTTGAATTATGATTTCTAAAAAATAATACTCCCTTCGTTCATAAATTTATGTTTTATTTTCTTATTTGGGATGTCCAACAATTATTGTCCTATTTTTTTTAAGCACAAAATTTACATTTTTATACTCTATTCATTTATTACTTTTAATCTCTACCATAAAATTAAGGTCAAATTTGTCAATTCATAATAAAAAGACAATCATATAAAAAACGGTCCAAATATATTTTAGAACAATAGAAATTGGACAGAGAGAGTAATAAATAATATTTTTTTCGTACGATTTTGAAGATCTCATTTATATTTTGCGTTATTATACTTAACATAAAAATATTTTTATATTTGTATAATTTTTTGCACAAATGTCATTATAATAGTATTATACATATTAATAGAAGCTTTTTTTTGTCATTTTTTTTATATTTTTATATAATAATTAATATTTAAATATCAATATACAAAAAATAAATGAAATTTTTATAACCGAACGGAAGTAGTACAAAGTATTTTATATTAAAAAAAAAAGGTCAAATATTTATTATAAAATAAAATATTTATCTTAAATAATAGTATATTTTATATTTTTAACACCATTCTACCTCCCTCCAGAGTTTTAAAAATCAAAAATCAAATCATTGGGTGAACAAAACCTAAAGTTTATTCAAATTGGAATTACTTAGAAGTTGAATACGAACTGAATTTAAGGTGTGTTTCTTTTTATTGAGTTTGGAAAAATTTGATTTATTTTTGGAATTAAAAAAATATTTGATAGAATGTTTCGGAAAATACAGAGTCAAAATAATAAGATTTAAAAAATTTTGTGTAAAAAAACATACCCAAATATTTGTGCTCACATAATAAGGAAAGAATAATTAATAGGATTTTTACTTTTTATTTATTTTAATATTTAATTTAATATGTATAATAGTTAGTACTTTCTCTATTATGTAAATTTAAAAATATTTTTACTTGGAATGAAGACTAAAAAAATAAATATTTTTATTGTAAAAATGGCAAAAATAAAAGGATAATTGATGATATTTTTGAAAATTTAATTAGTAATTAAATTAAAAAAAAGAACATAATAAAAATAGTATTATTTATTGTAAATAAATATTGAATAAAATATAATAATTAAATATTTATTGGTTAATTTTTTTAAAATTAATAATGCAATAAATTTAGTAAAATAGATTAAAAAAATAAGATTAAATTTGACGGTGTAAATATTTTATAAGCAATAGTATGATGGAAAAACAAAAGGACAATTTTGCCCTTGAATTATTTACTTTTTAATAATATTGTTTATTGTATGAAATATAGAGATATTTTTTAATTGAACGAACAAAAATAATAAAATAATTATATATAATTCAGAACGGGAGAGTTAATAAGAGCTAATACAACCAAACGAATCTTTGGGAGTATTCATTTGACAAATTTA